GGCGGTCCTCGCCGCCGCCTCCGGAAGAAACTACCGTCCTCCTTCTTCTCTATTCCGCTTGATTAGTATTCGGTACATCAAAAAAAAAAAAAAATAAATAAAAAATAAAAATAAAACAAAAAACACACACACACACACACATAAACACATACATACGTATACACATACATAAAACAAATAGCATTGTGTGCAAAAATCTCTTCGATGAGAATACACACTCACACACATTAATACGATAATATATCCGTAAAAAAACTATTACATACAATATACACGGCTTGTACATAATATCATTATTGTTATTATTATTATTATTATTATTATTGTAACAGTGTTCTCCTCTTTTCACCGGTCCAACACAATCGCATCACATTTTTATTATATTGTACAGCGAAATCGGCGCGTACATTTTAATAACGTTATGATAATGTTATAACAACGACGAAAATAGTACTTGTGGTGGTGGCCTATCTCTGTACACGTCGACGACGACGAAGACGGACGACAATAAATGTACAAACCGGTCGAATGTATACATTAAAATATTATATTATACGCACGAGTGTGTTTGTGTGTGCGTGCGCGTGTATAAAATAACGTCGGCTGCCGCTTGATGGAGTTCAATTAAACGTAATATATTGCACGGAACGTCTTCTTACAACAGTTGTCTCTTATATTGCCGCGGTGGCAACAGTCACCCGGTAGCTGGTTAGCGGGTTTCGTGCGCACCGTTTACTTTTTTTGGAGATTACCCATTCCACCGCTCTTACACATAGGCGTGACTAAAGTCCAAATTTTGGGGTAGCAAAGTTTATTTTTAGAAAGTGAAAAAATTATTTTTATAGATTTAATATGATAACTAGTCAATCATAAATCTATAAATAAACTATAAACCATAAATTCATAAATCTTGGTATGACATATAGTGTATACAGAGTCTTATCGTCCGTATTGGACTTATTACAAAATATAATTATTTTGGATACAATCACAATAATATAGTCTATGGACACACTCGAATAATAAACATCGAATATATTTTTTAAATTCTATGATTTTTTTGGGGTAGCAAAAAGATACCCTTGCTACACTACAAACATTTCTGGGGTAGCAAAGATACCCCTCGATACCCCTTAGTGACGCCTATGCTCTTACATCACAAAAGCTTTTCACCGATTTAAGATTTAAGATTTAAGTATCAGAATTGAAGGTGTGGATGGAAAATAAAAATCGGTATCCGATAAAGAACTTCTATAGTCTGCAATCAGGGGCGTCATTTCAACTTTTGAAAGAGTGGGGCAACTGATTAAATTTGCCGACTTAATAATATTTAAAAATTTATGGTTAGCTATATATTTAAATATTTAATATTTATGGACGATGACTATCAATAAAATATTTTTTCGGAACAAAACACGTAAAGATTAGTAATGAATAATGATGTCATGATGATAAACAAAGAACATGAAACGTTTCAATTTACCCAATTAAATAATAACATTAAATATAGTAATTAATTAATTTACTCAAAATAACTTAGGTATATCAATAACGATGACACAAGATTAATTTATTTGTTTTCGTGGAGGTGTGTTATTATGGTAACAGTATATATTTGTTATTTTAAGAGAGAACGGAAATGTTTGACGAGATCGGAAGAATCTTTCAAGACTATTATTCCAATATATATCATTATCTTACTGTTTTTGTGTATTATTATAGGCGTTGAAAACGTTTGCAGAGCATTCATTCTTCCACGAAATTCTTGAAAAATTCCAAAACCTGCTCCCTTACTTATAGATTCGTCCGCTGTTGAATTGCTTTCGAAATTATAATCGAAATTATAACATGACTCTCTAGATATAATATTTTTGTCACACCTGTACCGAAAATTTGGTTTTCGACCACGGTCGAAGCGTTGGAATGTCACATTTATCCGTCCAGCGGTCGGTAAGATAGGAATTCCATAATGGCGGGCGGTAAAGTGGAAATCCCAAAAAGTGCGAGGGGGAGGGAAAGTGGAAATCCCTATAACTCCATGTAGTAAAGTGGACATTTCCAAGAGCGGTGGCCCAGCACAACCAGAAACTTAAATGTATACCATGGTCCGTACAAAATATAAACTTTCGGTTAAATCTTATACACATATTACAACCTCCTTGCATGACGCATAAACATTTAAACATATTTCATTTTCACTGTTCCCACGCAAGTACGTTGGACGTTACGGATAAATTTGTTTTGTGCGATTTATATAATAATTCGAATTAGAAAATGAGATCGTTCGCGTGTCACGTCGCCGTTCAAATTATCCCATTTCGTGTTAACCGGAGCACCCGATAACGGTGTCGGCGTTTGATGTCCGAGAATTTTCGATCGGCGTGTTATCGTGTACGATTACCACCGGTCCGTGGAGGCCATTACTCCGGGACTTTTTTCCGACACTTTCTCTGTGAATGTCCGACTCGTCGTTTTTCCCATGCCACCGACCGTGTGTTTTTGTGGTTGCGACATAGCACGGTGGAGTCGCTATCTCCGGAGACAACTTCGTGTGTCTGACGACTGTTCGAACCGTAGCTGACTCGTGTCTGCAAAATTTTCTTTTGCTTATCGTCGTGCACGGAGAAGCCAGTTATTGTAAATCGAAACCGACGCCACTGATCAATCGATTCTTCTGCCGGCTGTGGCGTTCGTCGCACGTGTGAACATGGTCGCGTGGGCATAACCACTCGAACGCCAGATCGTCCAAGGTATGTTCCGTTATATTTGTTAAAAATATTATATTTATTTTTATACGATTTGTTTTGTTATATTATTACAACGCGTTTGGAGCATATATGATTTTATTGTTATTTTTTTTTATTAATATTACTGTGGCGCTTTTGGCCCGTTTATCCCGGCATTTGATATACTTTCTTAATTATCCTTGTTAAGTGTTCTTTTTATTGCAAACGACGTGTGTACGTCACACAATCGAACCAGTGATGGTTTGACTGCGAAGCGCGCAAACAAGCATAAATACGAAAAATGACAATCAGTACAATAGTTGTAGTAAACCATTAACTTCACCATGCATGGCTAAAATGGCAAATGCTGTTTAACTAAATCTATTGCCTGAAAAATCAAAAGAAAGATATATAATAGCTTATGAAAAACTTTTAAAATTGAGAAAAATAAATAAAACCAAATCGTTGTTGGAAAATGTGTTTCTTACAAATTTTAACAAATTATCTTCAGAAATTAAACCTTCAACATTATGGTATATTTATTCAATGCTTAAAAGCATGGAAAGTATGAAACATAATATTAACGTTGGTACTTATTTAAAATTACAAGTTTTGTCAAAAACAAAATCGTGTGGATTAAAAGTAAAAATTTCAAAGTTTTGACTTCAACCGATATAAAAAATTCATTGACGGAGCTCCTGATATTCAATATCTAGTAAAAAGGTAGGTGTGATAAAATTGTTTTGCTTATATTAGCTACTGGATAATGATCCGTTCATTTATTACGATATATGTAATATTCATTAGTAAAATATATATTACTCATTAAAATTCTCTACTCAAAAACAAATTGTTCACGATCATTTACTATTAAGGGGAGTTATATGATATTTTTAAGAAATATATGTATTTATGACCCACAAATGTAACGTCAGATAGGTTTTTTTTTAGTTACAAAAACGGTTAATGCATCAAGCAGGTTATTGGAAAAAACAAAATTGGAAATATGCCTAAAAAAATTGCAATATATTTAAATTTACTGTATTCCCGAGCTGGTACAGGTCGTTTTTTGGCCGAACTTCAGCAACATAACTTATCGATTCTACTGGTGATGTTACAACTAGTAATGGGAATAATCAAATGAAATAATCGAATGATTTTAATAATCGAAATAATGGTAACAGACATATTTATCAAAAGCAAATAAATTAAGTTATTCGAAAAATTGCATGTTTTACTCATTTTCCATTGGGTACTAAATTAAGAAGTCGACTGTCCATCAGTATTGTATTGTAATTGTTAAAAATAATAAAATTACTGAATTTAACTGAAACTACAGGTACCTATTTGGTAAGGGGTCTAGATCTTATAATTTTTGAGAGGGCCTACCGGAATTTTCCTGACATCCCGGTGGGCCAGTACGCGCCTTTATGAGCTCAATTTTTATGGTATCGATATCACGAAAACTGTTTTATAAAGATCACATATAAATATATATAATATACCGAAAATTAAGGTTATAAGGTTTGCGTTATAACGATTGTCATAAGCTGGGGAGTATCCAGTGTTTCCTAACTTTTAATAAACCATGAACATGTATTTAAAAGAGAATATTATCTGATTTCTGAGTATAAAATAGTAAATAAAAATTTACTCCTTACCGATTTTAGCATTTGATTATCGGACAAAGAATTGCCGACTTTTTAAAGTTTCTTAGAGTGGAGCATTTGCTATTGTATGCCCCCCCCCCACTGAGATATCTCAAAAAATGTTGAAGAAATGATTGATACATTTTCCAGAATGCCTTACAAGGTTGACTTTGTTTTATGATTTAAAATTGCGTTTAACCATTTTTTTATTAACAATTATAGTTTGTATACATTATTATATATTTGATATTGTATATTATTATCATTAAGATAATAATAATATTATGTATTTTTATTCACGTATTAAAAATATTTTTAAACCCACTCCCGAAAATCGATTCTGAATACGTGCTTAGAGTCAAAAAGTATGTAATCATACAATAGTGATTCTGAACATTTATATATTTTTATAATATAAGCGAATATATTTGTTGACTTTGAGAAATAAATTATAAAATTCCCCCAAAAGGCTAAAAGTTACAAGCGAGAAACATTCGTCCTCATCTTTAATTATTAGGTACATGCTGCTTACTATATATAAAACTTATGCTAAATTTAACACTTTTTTTTTACGTATTATATATTATTTATTTTAAATATACAGTAAAAAATTATAGATTTTTGTTACATCGTACACAAATAGAATTATTAGTTAATTATTAATTTGATACGTCAATAATTGGTTTTGCTTAATTTTTCTCTAAACAAATATTTTCTTAACAATACATTTTGTTTTTTTCTTTGGTTTCTAAAAGAATACAGCGTATAAACATTGATATCTTTTATTTACAGCTGATTGTAAGGTTCTTCTTGCCATCTATTTTTGTTATTTATGATAAACAAAATTGCTGCGTGCGTTTTTAGCATCCCGTACGAATGGTTAGTGTACTGTAGGAATTCCAAACTAGACGGTAACAGTAATATTAGTTTATTAACCTCCTGTCCACTTACGTGTCATGAAATCGATTAACGCTCTGTGATACATTGATGAAACATAACTCATAAAAATTCGTTTGACTTGAAAATTATATGCACATTTAGTGCGTAAGTAAAAGTATACAAGTTGTTAAAAGTCGAAAGTATCGTTTGAGACCTGTAGCGCGTAATCTGTTACGTGGTACGACGACGTACGGTTTTTATTTTTTTTATTTTATTGCTTAAGCGAAAACCAAAAGGTTCGATGCATTTGTGAATACAAAGTAGAAGTCTCCTAAAAAATATACTATACATCAACTTGTATTACATAATAATTCACTAATAAAGTTTTCGGTTCGGTTATCGTTCACAGAAATATAAGACGGTTGAACGGGACAGGTACACGTAGGTCGGTAGGAAGGTACGAGTAGACGACCGTTCACTCATCTCTAAACGGCGTTGGAAGTCAATCCCAATTGTTGGTGGACGAGTCGGCGCTACAGTTGATCTTCTGCGTGGCCACGTCACCGTAGGCGATGGTGAACACGCTCTTCTTCTCCAACATTTGCTTGGCCCTGGGCCCTCTACCACTCGGCGGCGGCAACGACATGGACAGCCGCCTCCGGGCCAGAGCTCTGGATCTCAGGGACGGTGTCATGTACTGCAGCTGCCTGTCCAGGTCGAGTTCCCGGAGACTGGAATACGACCGGGACCGGCGCTGGTCACCCGCCGTCACGTCGGCCGCGGCCGTTGACGACGACGAGGACGAAGCGAACGGACCACCGTGCGGCCGTCGGCATTCACGTGCGGCCACCGCCGACGTGCTGGGCACGGTCGCCGACCGCAACCCGCTGCTGGCGCCCGAACCGCTGCCTGTCTCCTCTATGATCGGGCTGTTGAACAGGTGCCTGCGTGGCATGCTGGACGACCTGCGCGGACAGTGCGCCGACCTTGAACAGTCGCGTTCGTCGTTGCTGCGGCTCCGTCGGTCACTCGGCCGCAAACACGAACTGCTCGTCTGCGTGCCCGTGTGCGTCTCCGTCTGCGTGGCCATGTTCGCGCCCGGCAGACTTCTCGTCTCCAGCTTGGTCATCAGCTTTTGCTGTTCTTCCGCCAGAAATCTAAATCCAAGCGGATATTAGTCGGTGGTCGTTACAATTGGGAAGCAGTTGGATGGGTCGACGCAAAACGCGACGTCGGCAAACTATATATATTTATGTGTACTGCAGCGAACGAGTGACATTGCTCATTTGGGGGGGGGGGGGGGGGTGTAATTATATCGTGCTGGATAAAGTCGAATCGCACTCGGGTTAGAAAAATATTTGAACTATTGCACTCGGGCTCAAAATATAAGAAAATGTATACGGTTCAAATACTTAACGATTAAACAATAATATTAATATAAATGAGTTGTTTTTTTAAATTAGTTCATTTATAATATGAAATAAGCTATTTTTCGAGATCAATGTTTATAATAGTTTTAATTTACATGATTTAACAAATTCCATTCAGGACTTTTTTCTGAGTATGTTATGTGTTACATTTTGAACTTAGTTTTTTATTTTACAATAACGAGTGTTTGTAGTTCTAGTATCTGTATTTTGCATTAAAATATAAGTATTATAATGCGATTGTTTTATTAAATTAATAAATACAAATATACTGTAGATTAGTAGTCTGTTTTTTTAACCAAGTTCAATTCAAGCATTACCTTTAGGTTTTTATTGCTACCGAATGTGTTTTGATTTAAGTAAGAAGTGCAGTTCGACGATGCCTATTGTGATGATCGACTAGATAGAAAACCGCAGTGGAAGAACTAGTAAACTCGTAAGATTTTAGGTTTAAAAGGACATATGAAAATATACTTAGAATCCTTAGAAAAGTGATCTCGAGAGCAACGGAGGAGCCATATGTTGATATGACTTGTAAACCGACTATCCGGTTGATATCAACAGCAAAGTATGCACTTTAAACGATACTAAGATGTTTTTAGTCGAACAATAAAAGTTGTTCTATCAAATTATATAGAGTACATATGCCGATATAGTAGTATTTTATTTTTCGCCGTGAGTTGAAAATGCGAGTATGTTAGTTATCGTTGTAGGTGTAAAGTTTTTAGAATGTATTACGACAGAGAAATTTATCTAAAGTGTACCCATGAATTATTATATATTTTATTATTATTATATTTTTTATATTGAAGCATACCTATGATCATAATATTATGTATGCTTCGTAAAATAAAGACTATACGTCATCGTAAATATTGAATAATATTAATGTATTATAAACAGGGCCGTAACTAGAAATTTTTTTCAGGAGGAGTCCAAAACATTTATATTATAATTTTATAGAATTGTGATTTTAACTTTTAATATTTGGTTGAAAATAAGACAGAAAAAGATATAATCTTCTTTTATTAAAATTAATATCATATTGTCATATGATATTATGATATAAAATTAAAAGCAGTCAATGATAAATTGGAGCTTAAGTCATTTTTGACTGAAAATATTTATGTTGGTATTAAAAATGAATAATTATTTTAAACATTCGTAAAATATTGAAGAAATTTTGGGGGGTGTCCAGACACCCTGGACCCCCCCCCTCATAGATACAGCCTTGATTATAAAGTATTCTGAGACCCAATTAATGACATTAACAGTATAATATAACCAATAAAAATATACATAAAAGTTAATAGAAATCATTTTAAAATTTTTTCTTACTTGGTCAATAATACATCTCTTTGAAACGCAGCCATTTTATTTTGTTCTTCTTCGATGTTTTCTTTTTTTATTCCCTCGGTTAGTGTTTTTTCTATATTGACTTTAACGTCTTCATTAAATTGATCTTTTTGATTTTCAGTGGTTTCGTCTGGTTTACTGTTTAAAAACTTGTTCATAATTGCTCTTTTACCAGCTAATTCGTCAAACACGTTGAATGCACCAACATTGGATGCCGAGTCCATTACTTCTAATGAATCGTTGGACATGATCCTCAAGATTTCCGCGTTGCCTTGTTTAAAAAACATTTCTTGTCTAGTGTCAGCCATTTCGTCGGACCAAGATCGCCGTTTATCCAAGATTCTATATTCGTTACCTTCGACGTCTTCCAATAGAAGTGATTCCGCACTAGTTTTATTCTTAGCAATATTCGGTATAACTTTGGTTCTAGTCCTTTTCGCTATTCGTAGTGGGGACACTGGCTTTTCACTCAAAATATATACTTTTTGTCTAGTATCAACTTCAGTGAAATCACTCGAATTTAACGAAGGTGCTTGGATGCCTTTGTTCTCTAAACGATGAGCCTGATGGAGTTTACTGAAAAACAAATTATAGTGAAAAAAAATGAAAATAATCGACAAACATTACATTAACATTTCGTCATGTTTAAATGAGTTTGGGTTCATGAAAAATTATCATAACTTAACTAGCGTTGTTAGCGTTTTGTCATTTACTAGTCATTAAAAACAACAGCAATGATTTATAGTAATCATTATTCAACCATAATTGCCATCGATTTGTTCCGAACTCATTTGGAAGTTTTGTTCGACAACGAACACCTAAGAAACTTCACATTCACATTCATATGTTTGTATTTTTTTATTTAATGTAAAACACATGGTTAGACATTTATATTTTCCAGTAGATATATTTTAATAATAATATTTTATTCATTATTGTCTACTCACATTATAATACTACAATGCATTCATTTTATATAATAATTATAAACTAATCATTTACCTTAACATAATTTTATATTGATAACATTGGTTTTAAAATGACAGTTACTTATTTAAATAATTTAAAAAATATTTCAACGAAATTGTTATCTAATTTGTTAAATGTAATATTACATAAAATGTATAAATAAGTTCATAAATAGTAAATAATGTTTTTTACAAGAATAATAATTGACTAAACGTATTTACCTTAAAATGCAGAAACCACTTAAAATTTAATTAATCTTAAGATTTTATAAACAATTATTTATAAATCATTATTGAAAAGAAAATGAAACAATACGAAATTATTATAATCTGAATAAAATATTATTTCTGTTTAAACTTAAATATTTCTGAAATATGCAACAGATAATTTTTTATTCATTATATAGGGAATAAAAAATATTGTTGAAGATTTTTTATGATCAATACCCTTTATTTTGTGGTTTCAAGCATTATAAAGCAAGGGTAAAAACATCTGATAATTTATGCACCAGAAGCTAAATTTGTTTTGTTATGATTTTTATTCGATTAATGTTTTTAAATCTTTTCCACATTAATCTTATCACCCATCTTGATTTATTGATAACGTTTAATGGAAAAAACCTAATACCTATAGTTTTTGGGTGAGATGCAAGAGTTAGATAGACCATTAGGGTAGAACTAAACTATTAAAACCTTACTGGGTCTACATATTATAACATGTTGGTTATATAAATATGTATGTATATATCATCGTTATAATATTATTCTTAAAATCGAAGATTAAATTCAATCGTCCCGATCACTGTTCAATTTTAAACCCCGTTTTTTTCTTTTTTAACAATTCTTAGATATACTTACTGATGAATAAACTGTAAATATTGTTGGTAACAACAGCAAAACAACAGTGATAAGGCTGCCAATAATATGGCTAGTAATAGTAATAAATTCAACCAAAAAGATAGGTTCTTATCGCTGTGGTTATTTACCTGAAAGCAAACATTCCGATTTTTGGTTAAATAATTAATATTAAAATAATCTAGAACTATATTATTTTGATATTTAAAAACGAAATTTAAAGGTGCTCTAATATTTAATTTATAAATTAGTATTTACTGCCCATTTTGAAAAAATATTAGTAACACATATTACGTATATCAAAATTTTATTGAAATATGAAAAACTTGAGTAGACGTAACTACATTACAAATCATTTAAATTTAATTAATGAAACAAGAGCCAACTAAATAAAAATTCTTTAAATACATATTTGATGTATCATTTTTTACAAATAATAATTACATAAGTCTTAATAGCTAGAGTATTATTTTATAATACTATACATATCTCAGTCATAATTATTTCATATATAACAATTGGTTATGTATAAATACTAATTTCAAATATCATTTAAATTTATTTGGAATCAAGGAATTAATTGGCTTCAAAACACATGAACGTATGTTATGATACTGTTCGAAAAAACTCATTTTTTGCGTTATTATAAATCCAATTTTAAAATATTGTTATTAGTATAGTAAGTAGGTTAATGCAATAAAATCCAAATTACACTTCATCTAATTAATCCAATACATCTTAAAATTTCGATAATAACGAATAATTACTTGTGCCATATGAACTTTATCACTGCATTGGTCAGATTGTTTACCAAATTCTTCAATGTCGATCACGGTATTGGTGTTATAAACAACGGTAGCGGTCACAATCTTTCTGTACAAACAAAATAAAACAGTGATAGATTATTTATATAATACAGCAAAGAACAAAAAATTCGGGTAGAACTCTTAAAATAATAAGCAGTTTACTTTTCTACACTGGACCCTTGTTGGACGATATCGTAGTTGGGCTTTATCGTATTGATGGTCACCTTGCCACCAGTTAGACGTTCCAACATACTGTGAATAGCAACCATGTCCATGGTAACCGGTATCAAAAACGACATTTGTCTGGCTCCAGAAGACGGTGGATAAATTCTCACCTGAGTCGTGGACCACCGGTGGGGTACACCTATAAAAATTGTATAGCAGCCAGTGATAATAATCAACTTTAACTAACAAATAGTTGGATTCTAAAAATCCCACCTAAATCGTAAGCTCGGATCGTGAGCACGACGAATGTACTGCTGGTTGAGTCCCTTCGAGTTCTGCTCGAATCGTACAAACCGCTGGACATCAATAGTTCACCTATGTTTTGAAATTCCGAGAAAGAAAAAAATATGCTTGATTAATTGTTAGAGACAGAGGAAAGTGTATTTTCGTTTTTTTTTTTGTTTTTTTGTCGCTAGTCTAAAATACCAGCCCTCAGAACCACAGCTCGACAAGACATGACAATACACTTGGGACACAAAAGAGTCGTAAATTGTGAGGTACACCATAATAATAAGATAATATTTCATCGAAAAATATATATAAATGTTCAAATGTGTGTGTGTGTGTGTTTGTATGTATACATATATGCATATCTATGAGCCTTACCGGTTTCTGGATTCAGGGTGAAGCGATTGTTGTAGTTGCCGTTTATTATTTCGTAACGTACTACGTTGTTCGGGGCTTCAGCATCTTTGTCGATTGCCTATAACAGAAGAAAAAGTAAAAAAAAAAACAATATTATATATAGGAGCATCATGGGGTTTGATTTATATGAATCAAAGTGTTAAGATAAAGGATATATTATTTTAGCGCAATAACATATAATATTAAAGTTTTAGTTTGAAAACTCGCTTTATTTTATGTCAAATTATTAAAAACAATAATATGAATGTCATGTATTTATTACCAAAGGAAATAATTTGAAAAAACATATATATAAATGTATATACTCGTATATTTGTATGTTATTTAAAATATAATTTAGCAGTACTTTTTGTTTTGTACGTAATACTTCATTGATCTCTCGAATCTAATATAATGAAAAAGTTTAAACATTAGTTCTATAATTTACCTTGATAAAAGCTCGTTCCGTAAAGTTTCTCATGTCTTGTGTTAAAACGAATTGAATAGGTGTATCTTGAAAAACTGGTGTCTCGTCGTTTATGTCCAACACATGTATAACAAGTGGTACAGTGGTTGCAAGACCTCCTCCGTCCATATCTCGAGCTTCTACAGTCAATCTATATTCTACAAATAAAGGATCGCTGTCAGTTAAAGTATTCAGTAATAAGATACAATAAGTGTAGTAATTTTATAATTTATTAATTATTAAAATTTAGAAAGTATAAGTTACACATATATTTATACATATATTTTATGTTTTGAGTGAAAGGAATGTATTAGTTTACCATACAGATATAACAACCATAATGTGTTTTATTTATTTTAATATTTTTGTTTTAGTTGAAGATTTTGACAAAAAAAATTGCTTAGATCATCATCAAATAAAAATAAAAGATAGAAAAATAGGTTCTAATTTTGAATTTTAAGAGATCACTTTTCGAATTTATCAATAATTCTCTATAAGTATTTTTGATAGAAAAGGTTATTTGTATCATAAATGAGATAATTTTTATTTACCAAAAATTTTATAAAAAAAATAGTGAAAATGTATATAATACATATATATATGTATATAAAACATTTATGATATACCAATTTTCAACAAAATCGAATTTTTGTTTTTTTTGTATATCAAAAAATAATAATTGTAGTCATGAAATACTGTCTTTTATCATCATTTGTTCTAGATGATATAATTTTCTAATAATATTTTTTTTTATAGCTATTTATAGAAAATTGTTTATGTTTTCTTGGTGTTTTTTAATGTTTTTTTGTAAATGAAATAATTTTGGTTTGACAAAAAAAAAAGTCTTTAAAATTTAATTGAGCTTAATGTCAAAAAATGTATTCACAAAAATTCAAATAATTTTCAATTTCTATATTCAAGGTTTGAAAATTGGATACAAGATTTTTCATATAATTTTCTTTGTAAAAAATATTATATTAAATGGACATTATATGGACATGATTAGGCATTATGTTTTAAGCTGTTCATCCTGTGCTATTTTAACTTTAAACCATTAATAAGATAGAACCAAGATCGGCTCAAGGTATAGGCGAGCTAGGCACCTGCCTAGAACGGCACTTTAGTAGGGACGGCATTTTCAAAATTGACTATTTTTTTAGTTCTATCGGTGTTTTATAAGAAAAATATTTAAATTAATTCATTCGTGAAAACCATTTACCTATATAATATAATAATATTATCTAAAGTTATTATATTTATTTATTTCGTATGGCAAGTTATTATATTACTTTATATTATGGTCCATACTGGGCGTTTTGCCTAGTGCACTATTTTTGCTTGGGCCAGCCCTAGGTAGAACTCGAATCCAATGTACACGTATAATGATTTTTATTATTATATAATGTCCTCTACTCGTCAGGTTTTCGTTACTATGTGATTCACGAGTGGAATATTATTATGTTGTTAGTATACATGCCAGTGTCGGATTGAAACTTAGATTTCATTACGAACGTAATATAATATGTCTATTATTTTTGTGTATTGGTATCACTATGAGACGACTAGCGTTATCTGTTCAAAAATCTCTTATGATATTATTTTTATTATTATTTCATAAACGAGTTGTTTTGGTTAGCGCGCAAAACTACTATATATAATATACAATGCAGTTTTTATTTCCCATAACTCGAGACGTTTTGTAGAACAGTCTTCTCATTTGGTTTCCGTGAACTCACGCAGGTATATTATGTACGCAACAGCCAATTACACTAATTATTACTATTATCATCATCATTGTATTAACGATCACAATTTGAACGCAAATACATCCATTGTCATTTCTAAATATACAATACTATGATTTTTATGTTAAATATTTTGGTACACTTATAACATTATTCTGGTAGATACCAATTTTTAGACGCACAACTAATACATTAAAATATAATAATATAAATGATTCAATTTTTTTATTTATACCTATTTTCATCGAATACATTTTGATGTCTAGTTTTGTGTACCATTTTATGGTTTGTTGTAAGTATTTAAATATTTGTCATGTAACGAGCCATGGCATTTTTAATTAAAATTAATGCTTTTCAAGCTTCTTAATTTTTTAATTAAGCGTTGCATTCCGCATTATAAGTTTATTGAATTTGTGTTTTTTCAAATATTACTTTTATCTATATTTTACATTCGTAAACCGTACAGTAAATTTTTCACAATTAAACTATTACGTTCACGTATAATAGGAGAATACATTTCAAATCGTTATTTTCATGTACGGTCGCGTATTTATACGATAGCCAGTAACGCATACTAGCACTTAACATGTATAGCTAGCGGAATGTATTTTTACAGTAAAAGTGCTATACTTTTTTAGTTGATGGGTGGTCGAGTAAGTGGTAAAATTTGTATACCCCTGGGTTATTCCATGTGTGTGTGTGAGCGTATTACAAGAGTGTATTTATTGGGAGAGAGTTAAGGGTTGTAAAACACCAATGGGTGAACAGAAAAATAGATTACGACAACGTGTTAATTGATAAACTAGGATAGTAGATAAACTTTGTGGCTTTCGCGGTATTCGGGTAGGTGTATTTTACGTATTTGCATTAAATCAAACCCCGCCGACACGCCTGGTATATTGCAATAATTTTTCTTAGATGAATGGTAAGTGAATGTAAAATATGTATGATATATTCCGAATGTTTGCAGATGGATCGGTATCACTGGCATTGGCGTGGGTTAAGCACTTTCCGCAAGCGAAGTGCAGTGACGCATTCGAGGGCACGATGACGTAAATATCCGTGGCGCGGTTCGACTGCAGCGGTAGTTAACGAAAAGGCCGTGACCAGCGATGGGATGGGAGTCAAGCTAGGGTTCGAACCATATCACCGTCCGACATTTTCGCGTAGAATCGAATGATTTCAAACGCCCGTAAGGTTTGAAATTTTAAAAATTCGCAAGTCGAAAAGCATATTTATGCTTCAGTCCCTCCCACCCATCATCACCCGAAAATATTTTGCTGACAATGGTTTTGGCGGTCGTGCATACATCATGATACGTACCGGCGGATTCCTCACGGTCAAACCCGTGGTTGTCGTTGGACACCGTCACAACGCCGGTCTGCGAGTCCAGCACCAGCGACGAGTTCCTGAAGCCCAACACGGCCGTGTACCGGACACTGCCAAACGGGCCGGTGTCCGGGTCCACGGCTTCGACGGTAATCACGCGCTCGCCGGCCGTCGCGTTCTCCGGCATTTGAGCGTAGTACGCGGCGCTGGTGAACCGCGGTGCGTTGTCGTTCACGTCGTCCAAGTAGACCGTTATCGAAGCCCTGGCCGCCATCCGCGAGCGGTTCGAATCGACCACGCCGCCGCCGCTAGACACGGACAGTTCGGTCGCCACCACCTGTTCGCCGACATTTCATTTCGCCGTTATGTGACACGCGCACAACATACCCCACCCGCTGTACGATTTGTGGTAAACATCGTTAGACAACTCACTAAGTTTGTTCAACGTTACCTCTGCCGCTACGAACATTTTAGTTTTGTACTTTACGTCTAGCTAGCAGGTGCAAGACCGTGGATTCCATAGTAGAGAAAACTTTGAAATATGTATAACGATGTGTACAACAAGTCGCGAGTAATGGTTTACGTAAAAAAAAAAAAAAAAAACAAAACAGAACTAAACGAGACTGTCTATCAGAGCCGTAACTAGAGTGAGGCGAGCGAAGCATTTGCCTAGGATGCCTGAAGCTGGGGGGCGCAAAAATATTAAACAATTAACTTATTTTAAGAAATGTTATTTCTTGTTACCTTGTATAGAAATCTAATTAAAATTTTTCAGATTTTTCCGAATCGTATCATACATATTAAAAGCTGTGAGCGAGACAACCTTATAACTTAGGGGGCGCATTGCTTCAGTTCTGCCTCGAGATAAAAAGTGGCTTGGTACGGCTCTGCTGTCTATTATAGCAAAATGTTGAGCTGCTAGCAAGAGGAGTCGTCTATCAAGTCGTAATACAGTAGTCACTCGATAATTCGAACCTCGATAATTCGAAAAACTCCATAAATCGAACTAAACGCTAAGTCCCATGAGAAAACCTCTATAATTAGAAAAAAATACATGTATTCCGGTCCCCTCGATAATTCGAAATGTCTGTCGGTGAGGCACACTCTACAATTCGAATTTTTTTTTCACGAATCTCTATAATTCGAATTTCACACAATAATATTCCTCATCTTGAAAATATAAAAATTAATTTTTTACCTCCCAATACTACATCAACTTTCCAACCACTAGACCAAGGAATAATAAAAATTTTTAAAATGATGTATCGAAAGGAAATTGTTCGAGAAGTGTTGGCGTGCATGGGTGATGTTCCATGTAAAATTTCTATACTCACTGCTATGAAAATGGTACTCAAAGCATGGGAAAATGTTAGTGCACAAACCATCGTGAATTGCTTCAGAACTTGTGGTTTTATTAAGGATGGACAGAAAATTGGTGAAGGTATTCCTGTTCAAAGTGAGGAGGTTGAAGTTCTGCTTAGCACATGGAACAGACTAGAAGTTCCCGTATCATTTGAAGAATTTGTTCACTTTGACGATAATGTCGCAACTGCTGGTACTTTTACTGACGAGGAAATTATTCAATCCACTTCAGTCAATCAGCACAATTCTGACAATGATGACGAGGAAGAGGAGGCGGAGGTTCCTGTCATATCGTTAAAAGAAGCAAAATTGTTTATGTCAGGATTACGTCAATTTTTTGAACAATCTGAAATGGACGAAAAAAAGATGCGATACAATTTTTAATGCTATTATTAAGTTAGACAATGCTATGGACCAGATTGCGACCAACAATTTTTCACAAAAAAAAATAACAGATTTCTTTAATATGTAATATGTATATAAAATATAATACTATGTATGTGTAATAAATAAATATCAATTAAAAATTTTAAAATGTACATAATTATATTTATGATAAGTTAATGTCAAAATAAACGTTATATATATATATATATGTATATATCGTACAATGTATTTTATTTATTAATTTTTTTCCTTCGATTATTCGAACACTCGGTAAATCGAAAACCTCTATAAATCGAATTTTTAACTCGGTCCCCCGAATTTCGAATTATCGAGTGACTACTGTAAATAGTTAGATTTATAGGGATTCGATGATCCGGGGTCGTTCCGAATTACGAATGGTGGGGAAGGGAGATTTATTGTTATGTATGATATAATTTAAAAAATGAATACACTTAAATTATATGTGTATATGTACTCGATTTATTTTTACTGTTAAAAATCATACTCGACTGTCAATAAAATTTAAAATATTAACCAACACTAGATAAAATAAAAATCATAGAAAATAGTAAACTTAACAATAAAAGATAAACATATAGACTATAGTTGTGCAGATTATCGTTAAAACACAACTACATAAGCACTGTAAATATACGAACTCGGTGTCATCATTGTTTTTCTTTACTAAAATTCTATTGTAATTTTTTTTTTTTTTTAATAATATAGTTAACTTGTTGTTATTAACAAGTGCTATGGATAAATAATGGACAAAATTACCTACTGAAATTAAATAAATTTGAATGGAGGACTAGAACCTGCACCTTTCATCCATACTCTGTTCGCTTTACACTGATTGAAACGGTTAAAAAGTCGATAAAAAGTTGTTTTGAAATGCATGACTATATATAGTCGTGTATACACAACAACGGTCGACAGCGCTTTTTTTCTAACGAAATATACATGTATTTATTCTATAGATAAATAATTGTTTTCGATACAAAAGTAATAACGATAATAATAATAATAGAAAAATCTTGCACTTAGCGGCGTCTTAAATTCCTTTTGCGTAACATAACTGACACGTGTGAGCCAAAAATTGTGTTTTAACTACATACTCATATAGTGTTATACTTGACCTCGAAATGGACCGACGGGCGGCTCTCGAAGTCCAACAAACGATTGTTGCGCACCATTATGGTGAACCGGCTACGTCTGTCAATCACGGCGGGCATCACTTCGAACGTGCCGTTATTGTTTTCCAAAGTCAGCGCATACACCGACTCCTTGCCCTGTGAAGTGAAACACATGGACGGGGTAACAAAAAACAATACACTCGATGCACCAAAAATATCAGTGTGAAATAACACGCTGTTCATACCGTATTGTCGTCGTGTACTTGCATCACGTAACCGTCGCCGAACACCAACGTCGTTCCCTGACCGCTGTTCTCGTTCAAACGGCAAGCGTAGCTGCGAACAATCAAAATGTAACACTACAATGAATACACGCGTAAGGACACACGATGGCCGTTGCACTTGCAGTCCGCGCTTGCATTCGACCGGGAAAGTTTATAAAACACACCGCGTTGTGATTGTCTTAAAATACTAGTATTATTGGAGGTACATTGTGGATCGCTATATTACTTAGCGTTATGGAAGTACGGAGGACTGTTGACCACGTCGTCTAGTATTAGCACCAAGTCGGCCATGGTGGTCAAGGCTGGCGGTTCTCTAGCTCCGGTCACTTCTTCGTCTGCTATCACGGTTAATACGGCTGGTTGCTTGCCACCAGTTATTGTCACTAACTCTGACATGGACCTCTTCAGCTTCACCTCGCCTGCGACGGAATATAAAAAATAAAACTCGCTACCGTCAGTCTCGTCCAGACGAGGGTCTGACGAACGCCTAATATAATAGGTACCTGAGAATAATCCTATTTCGAATAAAACTGTAAAAGGTCTATTTTCCGAAACTAAACCATATTTAATACGACGAGGTCGACCCCTGTCACCGTCTATCGCTTCTACTTTGGTTATGACATGGCCCTGTAAAATCCAAAGTAATCGTAAAATAAACGTATGTTTTTAAGTTTTTACATTGATTTCAAACACAGAAGTACAAATATTATTATAAGTTATAGATGAAAAAATTTTTTAAGAAAAAATGCTTAAAATGAAACAGTTTTAAGCCGTCATAATTATTTTGTTTTTTCTGTCTCTTAAAATGTTAGATGGTGTTCAAAGGCGTACCCAAAAGGGGATCCGGATCCCTCCCATTGAAATTTTTACATACTCAACGATTTAATAGTAAATAGTATAATAATAGTGTATAGTGTATTTTAATTTCCCATTATCAGATAAAATAAAAATTTTGGACCCCTCCATAAAAAAATTCCTGGGTACGCTCCTGATGGTATTTAATCATGTTATAATACGAGTATAATATCACAATTTTATATATATATATATATATATATATTAAAAAATAGAAAAATATTATAATATTAAAATATTAATATGTAAGTTTCAAAATGTCACAATGTCACATAATTAGAATCATTTATAAATAATACTTATAATGTAAATTGTTTTAAGGTAAATGTAAGTAGGTATTTTAACCCTCCAATACCATCACAATAATGATTAAGGAAGATAGATAAATCACTGGAATTATTAATAAGATTAAAATAAAAAAATTTAAAATTATTTTTTCGAATTATTTTCAAGTTATTCGTTCTCGACTATGTCCTTTACATGTTTTTATCGATAAAAAAGTTGGATTCGTAAAAAAGAATACAATTATTCATAAATCTTTATAAAATAAAAATAAATTGTGAATGATGTCTTAAAAGAAATTATTAATATTTTTTTTATAAACAATTACAACAAATAGTAAACAAATACTAATTTTTAATTCAATATTGATTATATTTTGTAGTAATCGTAAATTAAGCTTTATTTTTGAATGCGATAACTATCGAAGAAATGGTACCTTTCACCTGTGATCAGTCAATTGAAGTGACATTATTCTTTAATTTAAAGAGGTTAATAATTATATTTTCTGATATAGTTAATTAGTCTTAACTATAAATAAATTAACAAAATCAATAATAACTCAAGTTATCTATTTTTTATTATATACATATATGCACTATTCACATTATACGTTCACCCCTTTTTAGATAAATAAGTTGGATACGTTCTATCAAATCAAATTATAGACAAATATAGAAGGAACTTATATCAATATATTACAATTTACATAAAGAATATGAACAGCTTTTATTTTCAGTAAAATGCCATGTATTTTATACCCGTATAATATTTTTAATTAATCTGTAATCGAATCCAATATATTTAAAACGGTATCTTTTAAGTTGACAGTTTGATTTCTATAGAGTATAGAACGAGGGCTGAAGAAAAAGTCCTTTGGTACACCACCTGATGATTACAGCTATTCCATATAAGTAATTTGGAAGTTAACTGAGTCGAACTCCATTGTCATCGTTCATACAACGATTAACAATAAACAAAAATGACTTTCACAACTCAATTATAAAAATTAATTGTTTTATACCGATTGTCACACCGTCTTTGACACGTTTGCATTCATTAAACTCTTTTCTAGCATATTATTACTAGTCATTTTTCGCGACTTCTAGTCATGCTTCATTCATCGCTGACCAACTTTATCACACTCTACTTCTTTATGTTCATTTTTTTTCACAAATCTAATCTCCATTATAGAAATGTCATTAAGAACGACTATATGTCAAACGAATAGATTATTCCTACAAATTATATACGTAGTCGCTTCATTTTACCATGGATATTCCGTCCCCTTTGATGCGCGATTCATAACGAAATAATGAATCGGAAAATATTATAATTTATAATAACCGTATTAACAATCGTTCAATATTAAAACAACGTGAATATGAAATAATGACGAGATATATGTTCAACGAAGTACAATGGATTAATAAAAATACGGTACAAATTAAAAAAAATGATTTCGTTTTGTACGTTATGTATTTGATTTGAATGTTTCGTATTAAGCATAACGAATAGTTATATTTTTGCGCCGCGTTACTCATTAATATTTATTAGTCGGAGAGTTTCGAGAACGTATAAATTCATTATAATAAGCGCCTCCGCGGACTCGTACGGGTGTACCATTGGATCCTTTCTCCACGTATCTGCGGGCGTTCTCCCGTGCCTTCCTAATCCATCGAAATATAATGTATTATTACGTACGCATTGGGTCGCGAGTACGATAGTGTACGATTTAATCGAATTCGATTTCTACCGGCGTTCAACGCGATCCAATACGATATTATTGTTATTATTTTTTCATACGGTTACAGACACGCGCGTGCGCGTACACACGTGAACGTATAAATATATAATGTTCATAAGCGTGAGTGCGCGTGCGAGTGCATTAGGTGGTAGTGGTGGTGGTGGTGGTGGTGATGGTGGTGGTGGCCTTACAATGGACATGTTGTTATGCAGATGCACTATTGTTTCGAATCGGGTGAATATCGGCGGCGTGTCTTGCACGTCTTCCACGACCACGATGACCTCGAAAGCCGCCGCGTTTCTGGAATCTTTGCCGATCTCCACGTACATGTCCAGCGCGACCACTTGCAGCTTGTACATGTTCTTGGTCTCGAAGTCTAGCGGCCGGGACACCGATATCGTACCGGTGGTCGTGTCCTTGTTCATGCGCAACCGACCTATGGTCAACTCCGAGGATCCCTACGGACACACGCGCGCGCACGCAACATACGTGCATGAATACGCGAGAAAAACTTTTTCTTATTTTTTCCACCCCGCCCCGGTGAGCCCCGCCGGTATCCCGTGCACGCGCGCATAAACCACGCACGAGGCTCACCAGAAAATCGGAACGTGTCGGACGGTATACCACGTCCACCGATCCCATCGGCGAGACACTGCAGGACAACTGTACACCGCCGAGGTGTATATAAAAACGTGTGCGTATCGTGCACAATCCACCGTGCGATTGTGCACAATGCGCACCGTTGATCTCCGGGAACTCTGACCTTGTGCTTGAAAAATTATAAACCCGGTACACTTCGAAGCGTAAACTTCAAAACTTAATGTTACACCCGTTCGGTTGCCAATAAACGTTACTGTGCTTATTACGACGGGAAATTACAAAAATTAACCACCGCTTATTTTTATCTATCGATTCACTTTTCGGCAACCAAATCCAAAACCCCGTCCTAATCGATTAACTTCAAAACAATCCAAACGCGCATTATAAAAGTGGTCTTCGAAAACATGACGGATGAAACAATATAACATGTAACCGCAGTGGTAGTTATGCTGTTGAATGCCATAAAATTCAATACATCAAAATGAATCGGTCGAATTTAATTGAAATGATTATAACAGTTGTTACTTATAACGTCACGAGATATCAGAGATATAATAATACTCGAAATTCGATCGTTCTGTAGTGGTTCGTTTTTGTATCACAATACAATAAAATATTTTTGAATAACATGTATTTAATAACAAAGTATTTTATTTCGATTTAAATGATAAGGATTACGATTTTATATGCCGATTTGCAAACATTTCGGGGAGGTGCAGATCCCATAGACCTCCTACCTAGATTATTTAAAAATAAATATGTTTAATTGAACTTATTTAAACATAATTGTTGTTCATTTGTACGTATTATACTTTGTACAACAAATATTAATGCAGTATCGTGTACATTTGGTCAAAACTATAAATCATTATTTCTTTTTAATGTATTTACGAATCTGTTGTTATAGTATGTTTATAGTACATGTTTAAATGTAAAAAGCACGACAATCATCCAACTATTAAACACTCACCCTAAGTTCGATACTGGCCGATTTGCGGGATTCCGAGTTTTTTTTTACGATCACGTATTCCAGTTCAGAGTTCACTTTTACGTCCTATGTTCATGTTTGACATTGGTCCGCAACAAAATTCAAATATTCCAAAAAAATATATTAACATTGTTAATAACTTATTTACACCAATGAAAACAAAGAGATTTGAAATAAATCCTCACCTCTGGCACAATGATGATGGCAGGGATGTGAGGAAATATCGTCTCGACATCACTCCGAGCTTCGGTGGCCACTAGTCGAACGGGCACAGTAGTGGTATCCCCTCTGGTGTCTCGCACCGTTATTCGGAATTGAAATGTCTGTCCTGGGATCAGCACCCGGTCTAAGTAAACATCCGCCTGACAACCGGCTGTGGTGTTAGGCGGGCATGGTAGATTTTCGATTCTTATCACATAACTGCCGAAATCTGAAGATTTTTTTTTAAGTGTTTTAATTATAAGAAAAAACATTTTAGCACACAATACAATATTAAGATGGATAAGAGTGATATTAAAAAAAGGAGAAAAAAAAACATAAAACCTAGAATAATAAAGAAACAAAATACAGAAACGATTTAAATATGGAAATCAGCATTAGTTATAAAGGAAATTAGGAAAGATTATTAAGTAGTCGATCGCTATTAAAGGAGGAAAATTGAGCAAAAAGAAATGTAACCACAAGAGTGCGACTATGGGTAAACAGGGATATATTAATATTGGAAAGCGTAGACAAAAATTAAATCTCGGAAGTTGCATTGAGCTTTTTATATGATGTAGAATGCACTTATGAAAAATGTATTTATAGATAGAAGATAAAAATGAGAAGGGAAATATTATGAAGAAACAGACAGAGTCTTAAACTATAAAATCTTCAGTCAATTGCAACAGCCTATGGCAATCGAGTATAATCGACAATTATGAAAATGGGTAGCTTGAAATACTTTTTTTGTCATAAAAGAAAAAAAATATTAATGTATTCATAATTAACTTTGTAGAGGTTTCAGAAATATTAGTTGACTCCCAAGTATCTTATCATACTAGTGCATATAATACGTATACACTATATATCTTCATACGTATAACATAAGCATTCTTTTTGTGAAATGGACACTCAGCTTGTGAAAATGAACATCGTAAAATGACAAGAACATCATTTTTTCATTATTTACGAAATGTCTTATTAAGCCGGGTTTACACGCAACGATAAATACTAGCAATTTATCGTAAAGATCGAATTGTTCCAATTTATCGTTGCGTTTAAATAGGATATTGTAGCGATTTATTGGAATTGGAATTGGATCGGATGATTGATGCCGACCGGCATCAATTTTTGCGAATCGTAACGATATTTGTTATAAACATGTAACAACCATTTATGGCTACAATTTGAGTTTACAAGAAATCGTAGCGTGTAAACAATATTCACTATTTCGATAAATTGGTATAATAAAAACGACGATAAATTGTCAATTACATTGTAACGATTTATTGTTACGTGTAAACCCGGCTTAAAGGCTTTATTTATTAACAATCAAAAAATAAACGCTATTTGTATACATTTTAAGGAATGAATATAATAAACTCATTGAGCAATATTAAACTCTGATAGATTACGGTTAGTATTTAAGCTGATTAATTATAATTATCCTTATTTTTTATAATTTTAATTGATATTAATATTATAATTTTGGTAGTTACATTTTATATTTTTTACTTAAAAAATATATTAAGAAAAATAATTGTTTGATTTTTATATGAAAATAAATGTCTTGCATATTTTAGGAATATAATCGCAATTGACATGAGTGGTAAGTAACCGTATATGATGACATTGTTTAGGCTGCCTTTTTTAATTGATTTAACTTTAGTTTAAGCTTTTGAATTTTTTTACTCGATAAAAGCGATATTTGCTAAATTAAATTTTACTTTAAAAATATATGTAAATGTTATATTAATATACATTTTAAAATGTTATAAAATAGACTTTGCAATACATTTTCAGTTAAACTGTAAGTTATTTGGTTAGTTGTGTGTTTACGGAGGAGGAAAAAAATACATATTTATATTGCTTCATAAGGAATTTAAATTATTTTTAAAAACTATCAACGTTTTACAATGAATAAACTTTTTATTTTTAAAAGCTAAAATTTGAATAAAATCAAAACTGCTACATTTGAAACTTGAGTGTACGAATCAATAACTCATTTCTGTGCGTGCATATTTCCGATTTTCAATGACTTGTTGAGATGAGACGACATTGGCACAAATGTATATCTAACAGTGCATACGTTTCGAAGGATCTTAAAGCGTAAATAATACCAGTATAAATCCTGGTCGTAATAAATAACGGTAATCAAAACAATAAAACAGCGGTTCTCAACCAGTCCCCTCCCCCCTGGGAGACTCGCGATGATGAAATAACGTCTTCCCGGCCACAGGACGTGCGAGAACTTTGTTGGAATGTAGGTACGGAAATTGAAGTTATTGAAATAATGTGCGCTTGCTCGTCAACCCGAGGTCTCAAGGATTATTTTCCACGGGGCGCGCGCGCCGCAGAATGAGAGAGAGAATCGGTGCGCTGGACAACGTGGCGACGGCGTACCGGTGGCTTGGAAATACAGCGGATAATCCTTATCGTGGTCGGAAGCCCTTAGTCTGTACATGAGAGATCCGACAGGGGCGCCGGCCGGCACCATCATGTCCCTGAACTCGGCGGCGCCCTCGAACGTCGGATAATTACCGACGACCGGTACGGGCGCGATGGCGGCCAAGAACGCGGTGATGACGGCGGCGGCAACGGTCCGGGCACTCATCTGCTACGGCGTGCTCACCATACCTCATAATCGCACCTGCAAGAAAGAAACACGCGTGCGCGCTGTAGTACGCGTGAAATATCTTATTGCGATCACGCACAACGTGAAATCGCGAACGTGATTGTGATTGAACACACACGCATGCACGCATACAATCATCGTTACCGTACGTTAAATAAATTACTACATTATAATAATTATATACGTCAAGTAAGTTTCTGCGCTCTACATGTGTGTACGTGTACGCCATATATTGTATTTTTACGAAATCGTTATAAATACGTTCAAAGCGCACGCGCTGGTCTTAAAATAATACGCCTAATATGCACAGAGCGGTATTATTTCACGTCAAACGCGTACGGCTCATCTTCGGTTTGTTTTCATTTAATCCGCAAACGGTCCAAACTAAATTCACTGCACTCTTCGCCGCGTATGTTATCAAGTCGTACGCAGACAATAACGTGTACATTTATATCACATCTACGTAGTCCGAAGCAGAATAATAATACACCGGAATAAAGTGTTGAACATTTGCGGCTAAGATTCAAACGAGCATAAGTAATGCGCCAAAATTTTTGCGGGTATTCCTTGAAGCCATTACCCGCTATCATTTTACAGAATGTATCAGCCGACGAAACGAGTAAAATTATTTAGGCGTATCACGTTTTGTACTAAAGATTATTATTGTAAATAACACTACAGTCCGGGATTTTCTTCCTATGAAAATTATGATTCATTTTCACGTTACATTTTTCAACTGTTTCTAACTTCGATCGTTTGTGCGGATTAATTTAAAACTCATCTTCTTCTTTTTCTTATTCGCCAACTTAAGGGTCAAATACTCACCCTAAACTGTTGAAATCATTCCGTATAAACGCTGTATAGCAGTTATTAGATACTTTTTGATCTTTAAACTTAAACCATACCTACTAGACACAATTTAATGACTAATAAGAAAACTACAATTTAAGCGAAATACTCAGTATCCGTCCATTGAGTGCGCCCACGCGTGGATTACATTAATCGCATTTAATAATTATAATATAGTTGGTTTATTCTGTTCGTCGAGCCACGATTATGTTATTATATTATTATTTTTAAATAATTTATTACCAAGCTTATTATATAGCAATATAAACAGCGATTTCTTAATGGGTGTGGGTGTGTGTATGAGTGTGAGTAAAAACTACTTTGGTTCGATAAATGCAAATGTGATAGTACAGGCGGGTAACGATGGCAAATTAGGTCACGGGACGGTCGAAGCCTTTGACCTGTGTCCATTCAGTAGAGAGAAAAAACGATTTTCACGTGACTACCGGTCGTTAGCCCTTTTTTTCGACCCTCCCGCGTCATGTCACTCTAAATATAAAGGTCGAAGGGGAATTTTTATTTTTTCCCTTAGTATATATATATATATATATATATTATGTATGTTTACACGATAAATACGCGTTTCTTCAATAAAACACCGCTGTAACGAATAAATTCCCGTTTTTTCGGCTTTTTTTATTTTCTTATGTGCTTTTTATTTTACTTTCAATATTATCAAAATCATGCTTAACGCAATTGTTGAGTGTCAGTCAACTAAGCTAAAATAGAGGGTGGTAGAATATGCATTTAACGTGGTCAGTTACCTTACAGCCCGACCCAACAATAATATTAAAGCATTCTCGACGATTTGACCCGAAAACTCGAAATAATGTACCTGCAAATAATGTGTATAAAATTAACATACTGATTCTAGATATAAAAAAAAAAAAGAATAAAACCATTAATATTTTTAATTTGAGTTTTTTTTCAGTATTAAAAACATAACATGTACATTGTATGTTCGTTAAATCGTGTAGTTGATAAACAAAGATCAAATCAAAATGGGTTTAGGAGGCCATTATAAATTAATATTTTTAAAAAATGTATTTTATGTATTTATTTATTCTTACTTATTAATGTATATCATTTATAATTAAACTAAAAACTTGCAATACTTAATTGTTTTATGGTTTTTATTGTAAATCGCGAAATGTTCACTCTTTTATGATAACCGGTATGGCAATAAAATGACTAATATAAATATTATTACCCTACTACAGAAATGATAAAATCACTCAGAATAAAATTATTTCCGTACGATAAAAATGGCTAATACTATTGATTTAAATAATATTATATAGGCTACTGCAAAAATCAAAATTTATTTTTACAATTTAAGTTGATCCACTATGGTGAAAAACACTTTCTCCAAATTAATGTTTATAAATATATTACTGAAATGATACAATATCAGGGACATATCTTAGTAATGTAATAAAAAATAGTATGTCGCCATTCTTGATTATATGTGTATGATAGTTATTGAAAAATATTTATCATCAAATAAAAAATAATATGGAAAAATGTATTTGTCGATTAAAAAATATCGGGTATAAATGCTATATTATTTTATTAGGTATATGCTATATGTTTTAATCGTGATTAAAATATCACCAATAAAAAATTCCAAGGTAGGGAACAGTCAACCCTTTCCTTCCTCTCCGCATCCAGCTATGCCACTGGTCGTACTAGTGACGAATGTCTAATAAAAATTGAATTTGTAAATTTTCTATAAATTACATTACTATTAAAATAAATCTGCTCGGCTTAACCATTCTTTATCGCATTCGTTTTAATAGTGAGCATAATAGTAAAGATCAATACGCTACGATTATTAATTTTTAACTACGTTTCTAATTGCAGTGACTCTAATATCTGAAGTATATTACGAAGACGTACACAATAGTGATGTACGTGAAAATATACAAGATAATAAAATAAAATTTTATATATTTGTATATATATATAATATATTTATATGTTATACGTTGAATTTCTGAAATACTATTATCAGGTGAAACGATTATGTAAACTCTTGTAATCGATAGGCACCATGCGCCTAGAATCCAATATTTGATGTTTGGAAGCTAATGGACATTTTTCCAACGCATAAAATACTTATACTAGCGCCATGTAGTATGTGAATATACATCATTAAAAATGTATAATTATAAGCTACTAGTATGATTAGCTTTAAATAAACAATATAAATTTAATGCAAAAGTATCGGCGTTTAAAAGTCAAGAAATATTAACAAATCAGCCTGGTAATGAATGGTATAGACGATTTGACGTCTAGTTACAAATTCGTATGACGCGCAAACGTTCGAGGCTCGTCTAACGGAAGATGAATCGACCGGCGGTAAATGTAATATCCTAGTAGCGTTACGAAACGAGGTGAAATTCGTGTTTCTACATAATATAACTTTATACGTCATATATATGAATGATTTTTATCAAGAAACTACCGCGCAACGCCTAGTAAGTTTGACGTTCAATGTTTAACCGCGTAAACTTTATGTTCACACGATCTGAAAACAAACACCTGTCGTCTAATAGCGATTAAAAATAATGTTCATGTGAGGTAAAAACATATATTACGAGGTGAGTTAAAAGCGGTTGCGTTTCCATGTCTATTATGAAACACGCGGCTTAGACTAGTTACCGATTATATACTATGAATTAACTATAATATAATATAATATACTGACCTGTACGACGTAACTATGTTCTTGGGGATCGACGGTCTTAATGGAAATGGAAAGACGTAGCCGGTGTTCTGACCACCATTAGACGTGAATGCTAATTGTGTTGCCCTGACGACGCCGGACAACCAAACATTGCGGCGTACAGTTGGCCGAAGAAGTCATCTACAACTTATCATAGTCACCATTTTGTACTCGCTTTTGACTTTATCTCCGCACGATCTATTTCATTTCTCATAAAATGGATTCTACGTGACCGCTGTCATTTTCGTTTTTTTCTTTCCTACACGTTTTGTTTGCTTACGTTTACGGTCGTTTTGAATGTTTGATATTTTACTAATGTAAATATTGCACTCTTATTTTCATTCAGACATTTTTTGTAGAACTGTTACATCGATGAAATTAACTAATAAAAACCCCCCCACACGGATAAAAGTACTTAATAAATCCCTGTAAAATATTGATACATTATACTAGACAATTTCTGGTTAAATCTCAATAATTTAGCGTATATTTGAATTAATGAGATGGTTGTGTTTGCTTTACTTTTAAGATTTTTTTTTTATTATTTAACCCAAAATAAAATTTTTTGTTTAATTGCAGAAGCTTTTTTCTCTGTTTCCAATCAAACCCTACGCAGAGACCTAAAAATGAACACCGTGTTAGAAGCCACTATCAAATCCTACGCTCGTTATCACAACTCTTCATTCTTTCTCTCTTTCTTCGACCATCCAAATATCTTAGCTGAAAATCTTTCCAATCCAATGCCCAGCAAACTCCCCAAATGACTAAAAATAAAGTGATACCGCGACTTACTTCTCTAATCTAACCTTTTAACACTGGCAGGAGTGTCGTCAGTGAGCGGGTGATCCATCGTGTTTTCTGGCAGCAACCATTATTGTTAAAATTTTAGCTTATTATACATAATAAAGTAAAGCATTTTGATTTTAATGTTTATTATTACTTATTATATTATAAAGGTATATCCACTAACGAAAATAATTCCTTACTTTTCGCTATTTATGTTTTCTCTGCCCTAACCTTCTTCTAACTATGCACGTAATTTATTAATTTTTAAAAATGATATTCATGAATGATCCACATCATATGATACTATTTCATATTATTATTTTTAATATTTTCATATTCTTAGATTCATGCTGTCAAGAAAATTAATTTTCAATTATATTTTAATATTAATGTTAGTGAAATGTTAATTTTAATTTAAGGGAATATTAAAATATATATGCAAAACATATACCTATATATATATAGGCACATATTTTAAAATACATGATATTTATAAAATAAATTACTATATACTATTTTTAAAATCTATGATTCTGATAGTTAGCATTTTTTTAACTTTTTTTTAGTTGCTATTTTATTACTTTAACCAATGATTAAATATTATATTTAATTTAAGTATATTTAATCAATGCTTCAATTAAAAGTTGCTTAATTTAGATAATAATTTAATTTATGGAGAACATAAATATTATAATGGTAATAATTATTGTTTGTGATGAATGTTTTGGCAAATGTATTTGAAAAAGCTGTTGGAAAATTATAAATTGCAAAAAATTTAAGTAATTTAAATACCTATACTAATGTAAATATTACCAGAAGCCAACGCCGCATTAAGGCAAAAAAAAAATTATGATTCCTATTCCGATTCTAGCACAAAATCTCTGTAGCAATGTGATTATTTAGTAAGTATCTTAAACAAAGCACTTAAAATATCCTGATCCTCCTAATTCAATCTAATTTTATTAAATTATAATTACTATTTACTAAAATATTAAATTGTAATGTCACATTCTATATTTAATAAGTAATTCAAAAATGTTTGATCAAGGCAAGAATCAACCCCAACATTTGATGATCATGTTACATTCTCTCAACGTATCATGGCAAAATTTAAATGATTATTACTTTCATTTTACTCAAATAATTATTATTTTACAATATTTAAAAACATTTTATTTTAGCACTAAAAATATTTGGCGACAACTCTAGTTTATCGATTCTCATTAGTATTTCTAATTTAAGCAAACTCAACAAAAGTAATTTTTAATATAATTATTAATGGTTATAGTTTTGTATGTTACCTACAACTACAATATTTGAATTTTTGCTGATTTTTTCATACAACATCAAATGTGTTGTATAATACGATTACAACTTATAATTAGGACTGGGATTTCGATGCACTTTGCATTTTTTTCTGAAGCTTTCTGTACGATACTCGTTTTGTTACAAACATGTTTTAAGTATTTTTAAATTAGAATAAGAAATTTTATTTTGTATTTTTTTGCATTTTATGACAATGTGCAATGTGTTTTTGATTTTAAGGTAATTTTTCTCATTTTTTAGAGCATATTAGAGGTTTTTATGTCATTATTGGTGTTTTTGAATTTAAAATTATTGATTAAAGATTTTTTCTACCGACGGATTAGTGTTGTTGAGTAAGGTATGCATGTAAAAGTTGCTGTTGAAAAACGTTTTACCATACAACAACATATATCAAGAGACAAAATATTAATGGAGTACAACGAAGAGAACAAATTGAAGAACAAGAAAAAAATACTACAAAAATTTATTGGGGAACAACAGGAGGCACGCTCTTGTGATTTATTGTAACAAAAAAGAATAATTTTTTATTTATTAATATATGAAGTAAAATAAAATATTTATGTTCATGTAATGTAATTTTTTTAAATTTTAAAGGTATTTTTTAATGCATTTTGTGAGTTTTATAAGTCAATTTTGGTAATTTTTCGCGATTTTTAAGGACATTAAATTCCCAGCCCTACTTATATAATACATCGAAATCACAATTGAATTCCTTGGGTGAGATGGTCGTGAGATATTTGTGAGTGTCCGATCTGAAATTTTGTTAAACTAACTTCGAATTTTGTTGGTAAGTCTGTGAAAAATAGCCATATGGATACGTCTTTTTTAATTTCTAAAAATTTCGTATAATAAAATTTTCAGCTTACTTGCCACATATTGATACAATAGAGTTGGTTAGGAGTATTACGTCTTGTTCTGTTGAGAGTTGAACTGTTATTATTAGTGGGTTAGATATTGCATTTTTTGTTGTCATATTAGTTATTTGTTTGATATTAGAATGACCTGGTGTAATCAGCATAACTGTATAAAATTTATTTTTTACTATCCGTATTGTATCAAATTTTTTACTTTTATCATAAGTGTTAAAAAAATGTATTGGAAAATAGCAAAGTGTTTTAAAAATATAACAAAATTAAATACTGACGAAATCAAATATTTCAACGAATTTCAATTGAAAAATATTAGTTATTAAATTTAAAGGTTTGTTGGCCAGACTCGTCCCCTTAAAAAATCTCGAGTACCTCCAAGGGGTTCGCGTACCACAGTTTGAGAACCACTGCCTTATAGTTTCCAAATATTTGAATGTCCTTTTGTGGTTTATATATATATTAGGGTGTTCTTTAGCTATAGATGATGAAAAAAAAAATAGTAAAATATTTTTGGGCTCACCCCTTAAAAACGTGTGTATGCATATATAAATTAATTACCAAAAATGTTGAGGCAATCAAACAAAGTTAAAAAAAATACCTTGAAAACTTGTTTTAATGATGGCAATTTTGAACCTAGAATTTGAGTTTCTTTAGATCCAATTAAAAATATATGATCGTCTTTTCGAAGTTTTAAAGACATGTTTGAAGTACAAATCTAATTGAATAATATAAATAATAATTATTTTAAAGATACTTAATAAATAAGTTAAATGTTCACGAACACAAAACTAAACGCACTATACGCATAACACGACTATTCGATTCGTACTAAATCAGTCATTAGACTTTTGTTGAAGATTAAGATAAACTTATCTATTAAACGATAAACATACGATACGATAAAGTTATTTACAAAATTGTCAGCCACAATAATATGTAAACTCTTATATTAGATTATATAACATATCTAATAAATAATTATCATTATTTATAATATTTTTAGTTTTAACAGAAAAATTTTGAGAATATGGTATTTCTATACATTTAAGTCAATATATCTCATGAACAGTAGAAGATATGAAAAACTTGTTAATACATAATTTATAGACAATTTTTTTTTATTTAAAACATATAATATAAATAATTTCAATTTACTCATTGGTTTGCGAAATATTTAAAAAAAATATAAAAATTCTCATAAATATTCAAAAATTGAATTAATTCAAACTTTAAGTTCAATTCGGCACGGGTTAACCTTGTTTGATTGCCTCAACATTTTTCGTAATTCATTTTTATATGCATATACAGGTTTTTAGGGAGTGAGCCAAAAAAATATTTAAATTTGAAAATTAAGGAACACCCTAATATATATATATATTTTCTTAACAAAAAATGTTGAGTAAGAAGATGGAAGTAAGAAACCCGATGGAGGGATGTTATAACTCAAGACATCAAAAACATAAAGGAAGAATCAAATTTTGACAACACATATGATAGAGGTTTTGTGATGGCAGCGATAGCATTTAATGGGCTGATAAGCTCATGATCATGATGATAATGATGATATAGCACTTTAATTATTGATTTTCTCAAATTATAGATTACATTTTGTTTTGCAAAAGTTGGAATATTACATGTTAAACTTACTTTTTTAAGAAATGTGGTTCTTTTATTATATCAACTTTCTTAAGATATATAAATTGATTTACCCGATCTCTTTCATTCAGTACCGTTTTTTTCTAAAATAATGATACATTGATTTTAAGTTTAAAAGAAGAATAAATCGTTATTATTCACTCATCCATGTATTTCTCCCAATTGTTGAATTTCAGTCGACTTAAGAGTGTAGCCTCTTTTAATATTATTATTAGAATTTAATATGTTAGAACTAATTTTTATTTTTTAATTTATATTAGCCAATAGCTTTTTGGAAAAATCAATTTTGTTTTGATTATGAGGTTTGTTTATCTTTGAGAAATTTCATTAATAATTCTTTTCAAGTAACCACTACCATTTTTAAATAATGAAGACCATGGTAAAATTATTATTTTAATATGTATAATGTAATTGAAATAAAAAAAAAAAAAACAAATATCTGTATAAATATTTATATTAAATTCAATTGAAATATTTATTTGTGTATCGAAAATTATTAAACAATAAATCAGATTAAATAGTGCTAATAGTTGAGAAATAATTATTTCATTACTTAATGAAAATGTATGGATCAATCACGTTGCAAGTTGAAAGATTTAAGATCGTATAACAGATAATTATTGTTCTATATGTATTATAAACATATATATTACTGTACTAATTACAGACGTGCATATTTATGAACATTGAACCTCAATTAAAAACACTGATTAACTATAATACATTGTAACCATCCACTAATAAAGTTTTTACTTGAATAAATTTAGCATTCAAACTCAGATACTTAATGCTATAATGTTATCCAAACAATAAAAAAATGTGTTTGTCATATTTATTTAATAGTTATAAAATTATATTTACTATAATCGTTTTGGCATTTAACGTAATAAATGTACTAAGCAAATATGAAATAGTTGAAAAAAACCCAAATGTAACGGTGTCAGTCTTGTCGTATATGGAAAGTAAGTTTCTAATAATATATATAATTCATCACTTGAAAGTTAAAATTAAACGCTTTCATTTAACCATAAATAGTAATTAATTTCTAATATATATTGTATGATACTGTTATTTGTTTTTGAGTTCGATAACTTTTGTGCGAGGATTGAAGATCCTTACAAATATATTTGTATACTAAATTTTTTTAACAAAAAGATTTCCAAAATTTGATATGGAGCGCCTGATTGATTGTAAGCTAAGATATTTTACAGTAGAGTTATATTTATAAAGTATATAGACATTATTATGTACTATGAACATTTAAGACATTACTATTATTATTATTATTAACCATCCACTATTGCACGTAGAACTATAGGAAGTTTTGTATTTATCCTCCAAGAATCTCAAATTTCATACATTATATTCCCGTATTCCGAAATATATTATGGTATACTATTTACATAGGATACACCTATATATTATAACATAATATTTACCTATTGCTATATATATTTAATTAAAATATCTTACTTGAATAATTCTGGTTAAATTTAACTATATTTCTTATTTCCTATTCTAGTAAATGGTTATGTAATGTGGTATATATCATCATTGATAATTTTATTATTTGTATTTTTTTTTAATTACTTCTAAATTAATTTTATTAAAAATAACTTGTTATTTATGAAGTTTACATCAATTAAAAAAAATTAAAAATTTAATCGATGAAAATTAAAATAAAAAAGTTAAGTTAAATAGTTAAAATTAACTTAACTTTATTTTTTAACTCGTTTATGCTTAAGCTTGTATATGAGTATAATAAATAGATTTCAAGTTTGCAAAATGTTGGTAAATATAGTTTTACAAATCTCAATCAGTTAAGGTAATATAAATGCATCGGTACAATTAATTCAATTTATAATAACTTCTCAACAATGTATTATCAATTACTACATTTAATAAAAATGTAATTTATTCCTAAATAATTTTTAAACAACCATAGAAAATAAGAACTATGTTGTCGCGTTGATATTTGTGATAACGAATTTCTACGTGAATTTGGATAAAATTATGTCATTCTTCACCATTCAGCAATAACCATAATAAATTACAGTTTATAACTATTTAAAAATTAGAAAAACTGAAAATTCATAATAATGCTTAAATATAATTTTAAATTAATTTTAGTAATTGATTAAATTATTAATTATTAATTATTTACATTTATTAATATTTTATAAATGAAAATATTTTAAAGAGGCTCCCATTAAATTTTTGTAGACCGGGACCTAGGATATAATGATCCCGTAACCCCCTCCCCTTACCCTAACGTTTAGCACCCACGTTTTTCTAGTCATGAATAATTTTTATATTTTTAAATGATTTAATGGATTTAATAATTATATAATTATAATAATATGACCAATATTTACAGATTAAATTACAGCATTTTAATATAAACACTGATCAAGCTTAATTTGATTTGAAATTTTTTTATTACAGTTGACAACTATGACGTTACTACGATTTATAAAGTAACGGATTTGTCAAACAACATTTCCAATGAAGGTTTGTTATCATTTTTATTACATACATAAGCTCTAAAAAAACCCATCAATTTGGCAAAATTGTTAAATAAGATCGGATTTTTTTTTTTTTTTTTAAGTGTAATATAAAATTTGATTGACTTCATATTAATAATGAATTATATATGTTTTAAACATTCATCATAGTTGGATTTAAAAATGAAAATTTTTGTTCAATCTTTCATAACAAGTATTCAATTGAAGTTCATACAAGAACAAACGCAATTGGATTACCCATTAGAATAGATAATCTGCTCAATGACACAGAAATACCCAACGATACAATATTCCAAGATAATACATTTATTGAATATGTATATGTGCCTGATGATTGGAACAAAACTTTTACTACAAATACAGGTATTTTAATTCGCCTTAGCCATTTTCTATATGATATTAATTATTGATTAATACCGCATAAGCCGTTTCAACATAATTGCATCATTCATCAAATTAATAATGCGAACTTATCAACCACAATTTTTATACAATATAAATTTGCAATGTTATGTAATAGTTTAAGTTAAAAATTGGTAGTTTTTTTATTCTTTATGATTTGTTGTATATATAAATATATGGCTTAATTTGTTTCAGGTGACTTGTGTGATCCAGAAACGAATAGTTATCACAGTTCATTGTCAGGTGATTAAACTAATGAACTTATGATAATTTAAGAACAAATATACTTATGAGGCTATATAGATTTGCAATGTAACCAAGGTTTTTTTTTACAATCACCTAACTAGTTGCAACTAGTTACTATTAAACTGGTTGTTGAAAATGATTGACTTAATATACCTTCGATAATCATGTTTCATTGAAAGTAATTTGGGTTCAATCTAATGAAAGAGTAATGTTTTTTGCTGAACGGGCAAAAACTATCAAATCCATCTAATTGAGTTTTCTGGGAAATCGTTTATCTGCCAAATTGAATACATAATATTTCAAGGAATACCTAATGCCCTTAGTAAAGAAACATACTGATTGATTAAATACAAGTTACATGTTCAATCTTATTTATTACTCGTAGATATTTGTAATTGTCTTATCGAATCCATTCGCTTCGTAAAACCAGTAAAATAAATTTGGTCCGTTGAAAAATATCGATATTAATTAATCTTATAAATTAACCCTTTGTTGACCAACGGGACTTTTAAGTCCTCTGTGTATTTTTATCCATTTAATCATTTAATATTTAATTTTGAGATCCTAACTTAAAATAAAAACTTAAGAATAAAAGAGATTATATTACGAGTATCTAATAATACTCCTAGTATGGTAAAATTTAAGCGATTCGTTTAAATTATATTTATGAGATACTGCAGGTTTAGATATGTTACAGTTAAAACTCGAAATTCGTCGAAACCAGTTTTAACTAGTCAATATTAGTTTTCACAAATAAATCTCGTTAAAACTAGAATTAACCAGGACTTCAATGTTGATACTAATTTTAAAGTATAATTTTGTAACAAAAGTCAATCAGAAATAAGTATTATTTTTATTTTGACAAGGCTAACTATTATGGTATTTAGAGTTTATTTATGGCGTTTTTCGTGGTATAATTTACGGAAATAAATTTAAAATAACTTCGATCGGCCGGCGTCAAATATAAATTATCATACAACATACATACGAGTGCCTAATAATGGTATTAATAAAAAATTATGTAATGACTAAACATCTTGCTTCAAAATTCATGTATAAATCGCTCCTTATGTAAAAATAAATTTTTATGTAAATCTAAATGCTATAATACATAGTTAGCATTGTTAAAATAAATAATAAAAATTATACTTATTTCAAATTTACTTTTATTATAAATTGTACCTATTTAAAAAATAGTAATAATATTAAAGTCCTGGTTAATTAGACAATAACAGTTTAGACGAAATTGATTTGTGAAAACTAGTATTGACTAGTTAAAACTAGTTTTGACGAATTTCAAGTTTTACTTTAACAGATACATTATAGACTTATATCTCGAAAGTGCCTTAAATGCTGAACATTAGCAAAACAATCCAATTTATATAATTATTTTAGCTTTTAATTTTTGACATTTCAGGAAACGGTTATGTTGAATGTTTGAATGTAATGGAATATATAAACACGGAATCGATTGAAGAAAGAGAACTCGAAAACTTTTTAAACATAACATGGGAACCTCAAAAGACTTTTAATTCTTTGGCAATCGAATATGTATTTAACAAGAATGCCCTTTTTAACATAATAATATATATATATGATGAAAATCATGAACAATTATATTTTTCAGAACTAAAACGTAGTGTAAGTATACATTTTAAAAGACAATTATTTGCATCAAATAATTATAGATAATGATAAAAAGTATTTTTAATTTATTGTATCCTGAATCCAGTGGCGTAAATTGGGGTCATACAGGGTCGCACTTGTGACTCCAGAAAATATCACTGGATCGCAAGAGTATCTTTTTGCGACTCTAAAATATCGTATGTAGTTTTCGAAAAATAATAATGTATATAGTTTATAAAATGTAAAACTATTCCCAACTGCAATATCAATAATATATAATAGAAGCTTATTAGGAACTCTTTTGAACCAAGGTAAAATGTGCTAATTAATAGATTAATTATTTCTAATAAGCAATTGGTTTTATTTATTATGAAAAAAATTATCTATTTATCTATTTATCTAAAAAAAATATATATATATATATATATATGTATATATATGCTAAATAAAATATGCATTTATCGTTATATGTTGTTTTGTGTCATGTAACTTGATGATAATGGTTTCGTAAGAATAATGTTGCCCAAAGTTTTTTTCATCCGCACGGTGCAGGACTGCTTTCCTGAGGTCCCTTAGAGCTTCTACTAATTATTTACTTCATTGGGGTGCCTCAGTTTAATCTTCATCATCATCAGTGACAACATATGTTAAATTGTTTAAGGATTCATAATCGCTTTACATTTCTCTTCTTCTGTTGAAACCGCTGCAACATCGAGGTATGAGTCCACATCGATCTAATCTTCGTACACTTTTTCCGAGAGTTCGACTGGTATCGATCGTAACAACATAAGATAAAGTATATTGTAATTGCAATATATTGATTATGGCCAAATAACAGGAATTTTTCGACGACTTTGGACCTTATTGTTTCAAATAACCAATGTGTTATTTCAATAATCCGATAGATTAACAATGTTTTAATAGATGGGTGATCCGATCTTAGACTGTTTGTTTCAATAACGCGATTGTATCAATTATCAGTGTTCCTAATAAGCGGCTTCTACTTTAATAATAAATTAGTTTATATTTTAGGAATCAATGTTTAAATTCATGTTAATGTACTACGCCAATAGCACAATTATAATTTATAATAAAATAATAAAATAAAACAAAAATGAGCAAATAGTTAACAACACATAAATTAATATATAAATAAATAGCTTATACACAAAAACAAATAAATAAATTAGTTAATGTATAGCCTGGAGTATAATTATATATGTAATGTATGACTGGTTTTAAATTAAAATGCGTGAACAATGTTAAAAAAAGTATGTGTGTGTGTGTGTGTGTGTGTGTGCAGTGGCGAAGCAAGGGTGTGCGTACTGTGTCTACACCAGGGACGCGTATCCCAAAGGAACGCACAATTGTACAAAAATCGTATTTTTATCCTATAATCAAATCGAAATGTTTCCATTATACTTTTTTAAATACGTAGATGTTTTTTATTTGTACACACTACGTGTGAATTGAATGATACAATTATGAAAATAACACAAAGACATTTATATAAAAAATTTCATATGAAGAAATTATCGATATATTTATCAGTCATAAAGCAAGAAAAGCAAATTTTCAAAGTTTAAATTAAAACTGTTATCATGGGCGCCTATATGGGGGTAAAGACGGGGTATTTGCCTTCCCCTGGAAAAAATTTATTGAACAGTTTATAACAAGGTTTGCATTTGAACAACTGCGAAGACTTCAGTTTTTATTTAATAACGACTAAAGTGTTCTAAAGTTCTGACATATTTTATTGTTTGCTGAGAGTACATTTTTTAATATACTTTATGGTGTTTGATTTAATTATGCCCCCTTCCCTGATAAATTTCTCGCGGGCACTCATTACTGTAATAATAACTTATAAATATAAATTGTATATTTAAAAAAAATAGTAAAATTAAAGGTTAAAAAAATTATCATAACAAATTTTAATTGGTTAAAAAACGTTTTTTCTAAGTTTGCCAGCGGCACTAGCAAGTCTTCCTACGCGAAAGTGTGTGCGTGTGTGTGTGTATGAGTGTATACTAACTAATAAATAATGTAATAAATTCAAGTAGAATTATTTTTGTTTATAGTTAAAATGATAAATAAGCACTTTTAAAATACAGCTTTTTGTTTAAAATGCAATATTATTATAATATAAATAATTACAAGTACAATTTTTCATTGCAATCGAAAATCTTTATTATTTAATTTTAAAAATGAATTTAAAATATTTATACGTTTATAATATTTATAATTTTATAGTACATGTATGACATATACATTGTATGTGTATGTGTCTGTGTGTGTGTATGTAATATAACTTAAAATACTTTTTATACATTTCATGTTTCTAGAGCTTTAGATTTTTAATTTGAGAATTTGTTTAGTATGAGTCGGCACTTATGAAATAATTTTCAAATTTAATTTGATATATTTTTTAATGCATCTTAGCTTATACATTATTTTCTTTACATTATTTTTGTTGACAAATAACCTATAATTTTTGATTCAACATTTTATGATATTTTTTTATTTTATAAGTAACCCATACCTACCCAAATACGGGCCTAAAAATAATTCCGGCCCAACAAGTTCACTGATATTTTGTCAATATAATTCCAAGTCTGAAAAAGTGTACACGTAAAATTAATTTAATATTTATCTACACTAATTTATGTGGACAGATTTTTTCAACTATCAATATATTTTAAAATACGAGCAATTCCAAACTTCTCATTTAATAACTTATACGCTTATAAATAAAACAAATTCTGAATTATAAATATAAAATATACATATAAATTTTATTACAATCTAAATAAATCTTATCTAATCTATGTATTCTTTAATTTAATTACCACTCTCTTTTCCTCCAAAAAAATGTTGGCCCGTGTTTCTAACGCGTACCATCTTAGATTTGGCTCTCTATAAAAGAAGGTTGGAAACGCCGGATTTAAAGAATTATACTATCATCTTTTAACACTTACTACTATAGGAGAAAAGTACCAAAAAACATAATATAATATATATCATATATAATTAAATATAACAAACTCCGGATTTTGGTCATAATGGAATTATGTAATTTCTATTTATTTTTCAGGTAAACAAGACAACATTGATTATTAAAAATTTACATTTTGAACTCGAAAAAACTTATACTATAATGTTTTTCAAGCGTGGTAATAAAATAATAGATATCCCAGAATTTAAAATATATTTTGGAATATATCAAATTACAAGGCAATATATCTCAGAAATTGGTAATAATAAATTTTTAATTAAATTGTTTAAGTACGTTGTGTCATATGTTGTGGTCTTTTCATTATATTTAATTTTATCTCTGGTATTATAATATGGTAGGTATGAAAAGAAAACAGAGCAAAACCAAAATAAACAAAAATATAACAATTTGAAAACCCTTTATTAAATTACACAAGTTCAAAAAAATTATTATATAGCATATATGGCAACACAGTCGTACCACAAATGCCTCCAATCTCGTGTTAAATCTAACAATTTAGCTACCCGAGCTCATTTACTTCATTGGTCTATATTACAAATGTTTTTATAAAAATGTGTGACTATTGTTTTTTCAATTTGCATCATTATAAATCTCCTATTACTTCAGTTTAATGGAACTTACAGAAATAAAATTACTAAAAAAAAAAAAAATAATAATCTGTAGATTGTTAAAAAAAACAGAATGGACTGGCATTAATAGTTAGTGCAATTTACTTGAAACTGCGCACGCTTATGTTGAGTATGTAAAATAAATAATAGATAATGCATATTGGTACTATGCATTAAAAATATATTCCTTTATAATCCGATAAAGTTTTTATTGTTACTTCGGCAATTAGCTAAAGTATAAATAAATATAATATAACATTTATATTTTAAGTAATTTAATATGAAAAATTCACATGATCAATTTTTCAGTAATAAATAATGGCTATTGATCATCAACAAGGTTCATAACTTATAGCATTTACATATTTTTTGTTTGAGAGATCCTAGAAATACCTAAATGAGCAATACATTTGTTTTAGATAACTAAAAAGCTAAATACGAAATTTTATGTTGCATATTTTTGCATATTTCAAAGTATAAGTGCTAATTTGCAGACTTATTTTTGCATATTTAGAAATTTATTATTTGCTATTTTGCTTTTTTAAGTCTTTTTCAGTTTCTTAGCATTTATAACATTTTTTCTTAATGATAAAAGTAATTATAGTAGTATTAATTTTTATATTTGTAATTAATTCATGTTAATTGACTAATTTTTCTTTTTTTGGTTTAAATTATATATTTATTTGCATCATATAACGACGCGATCGGAATTTTAATAATAGGAGTTTAAATTTTTTTTTATGCATGATATGTTTTTTTTAAATAAGTGAAAATTGTTTTTTTAATAATAAATGAAAATTGTGTTTTTTACATTGTTTTGTATATTTTTGTATTTTTAGTGCATGTTTAAGCGCTTATATGAATATTTTTAAGAACATATTATACCGCTTATAATTACTTATTTTAGAGCTATAAGTTATGAGCCCTGGTCATCAAATTAAATATAAATTTAATGATTTAAAGATGTAGGTAATTCATTTATAGATTTATGTTTTATTTCTGCATACGGATGAGGTATTTTTAATCTGATAGTATACTCAATTTAAATTACTTTTATTTCAAATGTTGATAGTTTTATCTTACTCTTTTTTTAAATAATTAGATAATTTTATACGATTTAAATTGTTTTATGTACTTTGGGATATAGTTATTATCATGAAATTTTATAAAATTACTCAGATAAATGGTATACAATACTTACACCTGGAAAAGTTAGAAATAGCAACTTAGATTAACATTTTTCAACCATTTTTCATTGCTGATGAACAGGGTTGGAATTTTATAGCATTTGCATATTTCTTATGAGATGCTTAAAAAACAGCAGAGTAAGCTAAAATGTGTTCCATGATACAGAGAACTCAAATAAAAAATGTTATTTTGCTTTTTTTTGCATATTTTACGTTTTTTAGTTTTTAGTGCTTCTTTTTGGATTTTTTGAGACTTTTGTGCCTTTTACCTGTTTTAATCAAAATCGGGCATATTTTATGAAATTGTATTTTGATAAACGTGTTTTTTGATTTTTGTTAATCGAATTTTCAAGATTCAAAATTTTAATTTTAATTTTAAATTAAATTATAAATGTATAGATTAAGTAAATAGACCGATTACGCTGATGCAACTCTGTACAATTACAGCGATAATATATAGGTAGGTATAATACAATAATTTCGTTTTAGTTATTTAATTCTAATTTCTGTTATCTGCTGATTTTGTTGATTTTTTTTTTCGATTTCTATTAAATCTATTATATCTATAATCTATAAACCGATTATCAACGAACGAGTGTAGAATTCGCTTTATACAGTTCACATTCGTCTCGTGTGCTCGTATAAAATTATTAAATAATAAATTTCTTTTTTTTTTTCTTTTTATTGAATATTTTTAGACCTTATTTAGCGATTTTTAAGGTAATATTATAGCATATATTTATGCAATTTTAAGTGCTGGAAAATCCCAACCCTGCTGATGAATTAATTACTGGATAGCCGGGTATATATACCGGGTAGACGATCCCAAATAATTGGAAGAAAGGTAAAAAAAAGAAGAAGAAATTTAATTAATTTAATAAAAAAAATAGCTATTTATAATAAGTTATCAATATGCTAATTTAAAATTTAAAATACAAATATAGTAATATCGCATTTTTTTTTTTTTTTTTTTTTAGCAAAAGATTTAAAGATAACGTTACCTACATTTCGAGATAACTTTAAGAACCATCTTTTACCATTTCATGTAATTGGAAGTAGTAAGTATAAACGAATACGTTTTTACGGAAATAGTAAATATTGCTTTGTTTCAATAATTTCCGTTTTAGAGATTATTTTGGTTGAAAAAATTGGTCTACATTTTTTTCTATAACAATACTAATTACTTACAATACTTTCAATACTACTTGAAAAATTTTTTTAGTCGAATAATATGAAATGGTTAGACTTAGTTTATTAAAAACGTGTTCACTTTGACAACTCATAAAAAAATATACCTTTGAAAATCTAACGTATATTATCCTTTTAATAAAATGTAAACTTGATATATAAGCTATCTTGAAAATTCTTAATGGCCATACAAAAATGATCTCACTTAAAATGTTATAGTTAAACAATGTTTAAAAATGTTATTTGCCAATGTTATACACCAAAAAAATATTATTAATGTGTTCTATTTATAGCAAATGACATAAGAAAGACACAAAACTATAATAATATATCAATAAGTAATTGTTTGAATGGAGGTTACAAAATAATAACACAAAAAATGTGTATATGTCCACCTGGGTTTAAAGGAAAACTCTGTGAGATTGGTATGATTTTACTGTAGTATATTTCTTAATATTACATAATTTAACAATATAAAAATTCAACTAATAATCCTTAAGATAATAAAATCTTGTAATTAATGATTTTTTGACATTAATCATTGTTTCAATTTTATTATATTATATGCATATAGCTTTATATTTCAGGATGTGGGTCAAATACTTATGGAGCTGATTGTACTAGTCATTGTTCTTTTTATAAAAGTGGATGTAAAGGAATGTATTTGTGCACTAGTAGTTTTGGCTGTACTTGTCCTGCTGGTCTAACGGGGCCACTGTGCAATCAAAGTAAATTTGTTTTCTCTATACAAATATTACGGCTAAAATTTGAAATTCACATTGGTTACATTATCAGGGTAAAATAAAAATACTTGATTTTATGGGTTTTATTCAAATGCAAGACAAAATTTATATTCAGTTTTTTTTCCTTGAAATCCAGAAAAATAATCATAACATGAACGTGAGTAGAGCTTCAGATGGTGTACATTGTTTATTAGCCGTAAACTGCTCACTAACGACTCTCAGATTCAACATTTTATATAATATTAACATTAACTATATATTTATTTATAAATGTAGATATAAACTGTGCATAAAACAAAAAAAGAATCTAAATTAAATTTACAAAAATTTATTATGATTGAAACATATTGATAATAATTAATTTGATATGGTTTTGAACTCAAATTGATCAAAACCGAACCATACCTATAAGGCTATGAAGCTTTTCTATAGTAATTACCAGGGCTCGGGACTTATAGCTCTTAAAATTATTAAAATAAGCGCTTAAAAACATCATTATAAGCACTAAAATAAGCATTTAAAAAAATTAAAATTAAGCAAAAATATTTATTAAAAAAAAAAAAAAACTATAAAATTCTAACTAAAAAATCAAACAAAATAAAAATAAATCTACACTTTCAAGACTTTAAGGATTTTATGGATTTTCTAAGGGATTTTTTTCTGAAAAATAAAATGTAAACTGTTCTCTCTGTTCTTAATCATTCTGACGTTTGACATTCAGTTCTATTTTCAATGTTGGAATATCTTTGTTAACTATACAACGATGCCTTGGACGGCGATGAACTACATGACAACGTAGATAAGATAAGAATTATTTTTAAATTTAAATTTTATCAAAAACGACTTTGCAGGAGAAAACAATAAAAACATAAATAAACTGGTTAAATAAGCAAAAATAATCAGAAAAACTGGAAATAAGCTTTTTTTTTAAAAATTACTGAAAAAAGCAAAAAAAGGCACTTTCAAATTTCATAATTGTGCGTGTTATAAATTTACATACATTTCTATAGCACTTTGCTACATTTTAAGTCAATTCATAAAAATAAGCAAATGCTTTGACTCTCGAGCCTTGGTAATTACAAATACAAAAAAATTGTTTTTTTTTTAATCATGGCTAAAGCCACTGTTAAACCGGGTAGGCAGTTTGAAAACAATACCCATAGTTTTTCATTATTTTCTTCGTTATCTGTACAAGTAACACACTATCAAATTTCAGACTTTATCTTTTTAATTTACTTCACAGCAATATGTTAACAATTATGTATCAACTATTTGATACATATATACACTATAATGTTTAACTTTGTAATGTTATGCAATGTTATTTTTATAATGTTTGTGATGTAGACTGTCCAAGTCATAAGTATGGAAATGATTGTACACAAAATTGTTCATCAAAATGTTTTAATCAAACTTGTAACCGGTACACGGGTGCCTGTTCTAAAGGATGCCCATCACCGTATATACCACCAGACTGTATCGAAAGTAAGTTAATAATAATAACAATCCTAAATTTATTATTTTAAACGTACTTTTAACATCCATATACTAACGAATAGTGAATATGCGCTCGAAACGGTTTAGCTCACTGTTCTTAACACTTACTTGAATTCTACACTAGATATAACGCTAGATAGCTTATTTATATATAAAAACACACTTATGGGGGGCACTTGCGCACAATCAAATTGCTTTTCGTATTCTGGGTCAATTTACCGCTGAATGTGTTCGGCCGTGAATCGAATAAGCAATAAATAGTTTAATATAGATCACTAATGCATGTAATAAAAACATTTGTTTATCATATCTTACTTTAATTTTTTAACTGTTTTAGAATATATGTATCTCTTGAATGCACCAGAATTAGTTTCGGCTAACGTTAATGATATCACAATTAAAATTAATTTTAAGTTGAATAATTTTAACAGTGATAAAGGACTTACAAACTTGAAACACTATTATCAAATACTGTATAAGGTAGTATTTTTTTCTTTAATTTACTAACTTATAACATTATATTAAATAATTTACTCTGCATATATATACACACACACACATACACAAAATCAATACATTCAAGTGATTTATGTAAAAAGATAAATTATATTTAATACGTAATAGCTTATTATTACATAATATTGTTAACTTATAATAGTAGTGCTATTTTTGAAAGACAACACACATTTTTTAACATTTTTTGGTATCTTTCAAATCTTAGCTATTTTACATATGTGCTATTTTATTTTTTTTATAAGTATAACTAACGCAAAATCAGTGGCGCCGGAACAATTTTTGAACCGTGGTGGCTGAGCACAGCTACAAACACAGAGGAAAGTATAATATTATACCTATAGTCCGGCTCACAAAAAGTGAGCGCTGACATCAGCGATCTCCGTGGCTGTTGTGATCATCAAACTCGTTTGCCGCGGTATTTTAAATTGTTGATAACACATATCTACAACATATACATAACAATAATATTAAACACGCCTAGTTCGTACTACAAAACGGTTAATCCCTGGATCCAACAATATTTGAATCCCACCCATCGACCTTGAACGCTTACTTTTCGTGAGCCGGACTGTATATTATTATGTATATTATAACGACTGTGTCCGATCACAATAGTTGTTGGCAATCAAATTGAAATAAATTAGATTACAAATCTACTATACAGTCGTAATAAAAGATTATCTATTCTAGAAGATATTTTATTTTGGGTGTTGTGGTTAAATATTAAATCGTTTCTGTTTTCTAAATAAGTGGTAATTGTCTCCATGTTATCTTATTCTTAAATACATACCTCATCATATACTTCATAAAATATTAACTACTACATACATAGTACATGCAAGTTATTTCTAAACAAAACTATTAGTTTACTGTATGTGTATGTTAATACTTAAAAACAAACAGTTTTTTAAATATATTTGAGTTTTGTTTCTATATTCAACATAAAAATTAATGTAGAAGAAGGCCTATGTATTTTAGTCACGGGAGCGTAAATTATAAAAAAATGTCCGTGGGGGCATATGCTCCCATTGCCCCCATTTCTCCGGCGCCCATGCGCAAAAAGTAATTTTAATTTTAAAGTATTTTTACGAAAATTTAACAATTAAAAATTACAAATTTTAATTTAAATTAAAAAAAAATAAATTAAAGTAAATTTTAATTAATTCTGAATATAAGATATTTGAATGCGTTGATTTCTTACATATTCTATTCTGTATGAAATTGATCAATAGACATTGAATATGCAAACCATAAAAATGAGATAGTAGATAACTATTAAGGAAGTAGTGAATAGAAGAATCATTTTAACTTCAAGTTTCAAATTGTTTAATCATTAATTTTTAACTTGATTATTTAATAGTTATTTTTATCTTATTCTAGACTCCTGAAGATACCACATATACTCATACAAAATCAAGACTATTACATTTAAATGAAGTAAAAGAAGTAACTATTAAACATTTAAAGCCAGATACAACTTACACAATTGGTATACTATTAATTAGAAACGATGGAAATTATAATGATCAAAATATAGCATTTGTAAACTCTAAGACAACATGTAAAAGTGAGTATTTTTTACTGTCAAAACTATTTTATTAACACACAAGTTACTTTGAACATTTTTATGGTTAGACTTGGTTATTACCTATAACGTGAATATTTTTAGTGTTTTTATAATATTTGATATATTTAATTATTAAGCAAAAATAATTTTGCAATTTTAATAAATACTAATAGTTATACTTATTGTTTAAAATGTACTAAAAGCTAAAATGGCCATACAAGTAAAAGGTTAATAAAAATATAAAAATAGTTATAGTTGAATTTTTTAAAATCAACTTAACATTTATTTTTCAAATTCCTTTTTTAAATATTATTAATTAATATTAAAAATTAATTTGATTATAATATTTTTATAAAATACTGCATCTATTTATTAAATAAGATATGGCTATTAATTATTGTCTTTTTGATTGATTCCAAACTAACGCTCCTTTATTATACTCGATATCTCACCGAATATTTTTATTTCTTAGCATAGATTCTTAACAATGGCAACTCATACTATAGTGCACATGGAGCACGTGAACCACCCAAAAACATTGTATAAAAAATTATTAGATTCCTGTAGTAAATTATAATTGGTTTTTATGCACATAGTCTGTAATTAACAAAAATATTAAATAAAAAAAAAAGTTCTTGCAGCTTTTCATATTGAGAGGAGCATTTATTAGGGATTAAATAATTAACGGAATACACATTTGTTGTGCTCCGAGTAACCGTAGACACGTCGGTCAATTAATATATGGGTAATTTGCACCGCACCAATGAGAGCACTGGACTATTATTTTCATTCCAAGTTCGCGTCGATAGTGGAAACAAGATTTTGTCTTTATATTTCATACATAATAAGTTATTTTTTCTAATTTACTTTTATTTTACCGTGACGAAGAACTTAAAGAACTTAAGAAAATTAATTGTTGATAATTACGTTTTATGTAACTTTACCTATAACAAAATTAATATTTTTTTATTCGCCTACATAGGTATCTTACAAATTATTTGTTCAACGCCTTATGTGAACCTCACGAACCGCCACTGGATTCTTATATTTGAATTATAATTATTAATATTAGTAAACTATAAATAATAATTTAACATGATTGATTGATTATAACAAACTTTACTTAGGTATTTTAAATTTATATTAGATACACAGTAAGCCAATATAAGTGTAGGTTTAAGTATTCAAAAATATTGAATTTTGATTTCTTTTTTACTTTTAATGATAGACTTGATTTTTAATATTATTAAGAGTTAAAATTAATTTATAGTTTGTTACATAAATTATTATTTTCATAATACACATTATATTCTGGTTAGTATATATTTAGTTAAGCTTGTTTTTATTTTTTTACTTTTATAGTAATCTGATTGTAATAATGTAATTTATTAGAATAACTTAGAATCTAGGGAGGAAGGTTAAGGTTACGATTTGTTTTGTACTAACCAGTAACTACAGTAAGTAAATAACCAACTAACTAGTACAGATTTTCTACAAATAACTCTTCTTATAACTTAAAAATGACCACTAATCAAATACATCACTTAGAATATTTTTTTTATATAATTTAAAATTTAATTATTAGTTCCAGAACCAAAAACGAATGATTATACTATAAAAGTTACTCAAGAATCAAATACTACAAAAATAACATGGGATGAAGTGAGTATTGATACAATTAAATAATATATGTATATGTATCTACCTACTTATAAACATATTAAACAGTTTTATTTAATTTATAATAACTTTTCATTCGATTAATACCAATTATGACATAAGAATTGATTTATTTACAATTTATAATATTTAGATACCACTAACGCCAGAAAATTGCAAAATTACAAAATACACGTTAACATTGAAGAGTAAAAATGTTGAAGATAATTTCAATGAAAATTATACTATAGAAAATACAAATAATACCAGCTATGATATAGAAGACCTCATTGATAATTATGAATATAGCTTAATTATCACTCCGTGGGTATTGTCAAACCCTCTACCATCATCTTCCGCTTATAATTTTACATCCCTATATAGAGGTAAATGATTCTATTATACAATTAATATTAATGTCGTAATACTATACTGTTTAATGTAGACCAAAATCGTGACATTGGAATAGAAGGCATACAAGCAAGTACCATTGAGAATAATAACAAATTAATTACAAATTATACTATTCATGTGTCTTGGATATTCGTTAATTATGATCAAGTCAATTCTACAATAATTGAACCACCAATCATAGTAAAATATAAAGTAAAGAATATTTTTATTCAACAACAACCATGAGTATTTAGTACTATAAATAGTTCTATTATTAATATTAGAAAAAAAATATATCCAAAATTAACCTTTTATGAAAAAACTGGGAAGACACTTACTCCGTATATACGCTGCAACTCGTTTGCGCACATTCAACATTTTTTACTTGAAAATCGATGACAATAATAAGCAAACGAGTTCCGATACAAGGGATTTTCGTCACAGGTAGTCAAAATATATGAGCACAATTGAGTTGAGTATTTTTGCGCAAACAAGTTGTAGCTCCGTATATATTCATCCTTTATTATACTATTTATTTTAGTGAATTAAAATTAGACTACATTAATCAAATATCGCATTTGATAGAACACAACAAGGCCGTATCTGGGAGGGTGGTCCGGAGTGTCTGAACCCCCCCTCCCGAAATTTCTTCAATATTTTTATGTTTAATGTTTTATGTTGAATGTTCAAAATAATTATTCATTTTTAATACCAACATAAATGACTTAAGCTCCAATTAATCATTGACTGCTTTTAATTATATATCATAATATCATATGAAAATATGATATTAATTTTAATAAAAGAAGATTAAATATTTTTCTGTCTAATTTTTAAACAAATATCAAAAGTTAAAATCTAAATTCAATAAAATTATAATATATTTGTTTTGGACCTCTCACGAAAAAAATTTCTAGATACGGTCTTGGAACACAATGAATATAAAAGGTCAGCGTTCGATAAATTTATTTAGAATATTTTTTATTTATAATCGTAATTTCTAGAATCACATAGAAATCGAATTTTATTGTGCTTATATTACATTAACAAGGTATAATATAGAAGATTTAGAAAATTAAGTTTGTTTTTAATCATAAATATTTTAAAAAATATTTCCATAAACATGCATGAAACATATTTAATATAATCTTAAACATCTTGTCAGGTGCAGATTTACAATCAGAAATACATTTAATTTAAAATACTCAATAAAATATTCTAGAACGTGATTAAACTACATTTTCTTGACATTAACTATAACATAAATTCATTTTTTTTTTTATGAAATAAACATAATATTAATAGAAAAAAAAGGGCAAAACTGCTAGGTCTTGTAAGACTTCGCAGTCAAGTGAGATAAATGGACCATTGAATGACAGTACTGTCAGTGGCACCGAAAACGTATGGCAAGTGGGGCAAATACCACAGAAATTGTTTAGATGGTGAGTGGGTGGTTAGACTTAATGAGTGCTAGATATATTATTGTAATTATTGTACGGTAAAATGTTTCATAATATAATATAATTACTAGATATGTAGTATGAACTCGTAGTTCACAGGTATACAATACTTGCTATTTATGATTTTTTGGTGAGTAGGTGGATACCCATAAGTAGGGTTTACCCCAGTGATATAAAAAAAGTTCGGCACTACAGTGTACTGTATTAGTTTTTATAAACTTGAAAAAAATATTGTAAGTGAAAGAGGTCGAGTGGATCAAAGTGGTAAATTTCATCAGTTTTTCGGTAAAATATATTAGATATAGTGTTCTAATCGCTATAATAGTAAGAAAATAATTTTCATTATACTTGTACATTAAACAATCTTACTTTGAATCAGTGTAATTTACATTTAAGAACATTAATCATTATGTATCTAAAATGATTATAATTTGTTACGTAATAATAATTAATTCTTTAATAATTTCTCTAAAAACGTTCTAAGGACTTCGCATCAAGGTCCTTCATCATTATAATATAATTTAAATATATTATATATATTTCAAGGAAATAATACAATAAATATTTGTTCTTTTACTATTAATATAAATAATTTTAATAATTATACAGGATTAGTTTTATAGACGTTATGCATTATTATTTCTTAATCTAATCTCAATCAAATTTTCCAATTACATTTTCATTAAATTTTAGATCAATCGAATATTTAGTTGTTCTTTGGATGAAATTAAAAACGCCAATTGGACATCGAAAGAGGTTCGTGGTAAAACAAGCTATGAAATTTCTGATGTAACTCCTAACGCTCAATATATGATTCAAGTGGTTTTACATTCCGAAGACAAAAACGAAGATATCATTCAAAGAAAAAATACAGTTTATGCATTAATACCAGCTACAAGTAAATTTTCAAACTGTCTTGAATAAATTAAATAAGATTTACATTTTAAAATTATATTATTGTAGAGCCTTCACTTAGGCCATTACTCGTTGAACCATTACAAACTGTAAACAACTCTGTGACAGTAAAATGGAATATCGATCCGAAAAATTGTGCAAAATTAAATGGAGAATTTTTAGGGTTTTTTGTCATATTATATGTATATAAGAACTTTTATTTTTTTTCGTTTATTAAAGTATTGTACAGTAATATTCTATTGTTCTTCTAGAGCAATAATAACAAACAAACATTTGAATATATTACAAAAGAATATTATTACGATTCAACATACAACCTTAATTCAGATACTGACTACGAAATAAAAGTGTACGCACTTAATGACATTGGTTATAACACCGAATATTTTCTTTTAAACAATTTTACAACTAAAATCATAAGTATGTGAATTATTATTTTTTTTATTAGTATCTCATGGTTTTAAAATTATAAACATTCGTTTATTTGTAATTAATCGCAGAACCAGTACCAATTATTGATGATTTATTGATTTACAAAAAAAGTGTTAAAAATAAAATGCTTGGACTTCGATGGAAATACTCAAATGTTTCAAATATTGAAAATATAGAGAAATTTAATATTTTTGTTTATGGAACCAATACTACAAATGTTATTAAGGAAAATTATATTGAACCAAAAAAATGTTCCAACTGGCCGGAGTTTTACTGCTACACAATTGAGGATTTGGATCTCAAGAATATTAATGAAGTTAAAGTAAATATAAAATAATCATAATACCATGTAAAACGGTTAATTTTATGTTCGTCAAGAATTAATCAATTATTAATATATGTTAGGTAAACGCGTCTGATAACCTTAATGTTAGTGAAACATCAACAGTCATCTATAAACCAGGGGATAAACGTAAGTCAAATGATTGTGATCAAGTATAATGTAAATACCATTTGGATTATATCTTACATTTTTATAGTGCCTAGTCCACCGTTGAATTTAAAATGCATCAATATCACAAGCACCACAGTAACACTCCAGTGGGACATCCCGTGGGTATTTAACGGCTTATTAAAATCATTTTTTATCACCGTCCAAGACACGTCTGAAAGTGAAATTCCAGAAATAAAAGAATACGTTGTTGAAGAAACCTCTAATTATACCTATTTGGTAAATATTAAAAATGTATATGGTATAATCATGAAATTCAAAGTTAGGTCATTAGCGTGTTTTAATAATATGAATATTCTTAAGTTATCGAGTTTCCATAAAACGTATATAATATTATTTTTCCCGTTAAATAAGAACATGTATGTATCAATATAATATAATATATAGTATATATAGCATATAATATTATCAAGATTTAGAAAATTAAAATTTATTTAGTGAACTAATTTTCATTAATAAATGTGTACCAATGTAAAAAAGTGGAAATACTGTTAAAAGGAAAGACTGACTATTTTAACTTGTACTGTATAATAATTAAAATTGTATACTAAGTATTGTCATTTAAAATTAATATTTTTATTTTGTTTGATTAATTTAAAAAATAAAAATAACTATAGATTATAAATTAATTGAATACCTAGTTATGTTTCAGACAAATTTGCAATTATTTAAAATTTTTTTTTACGTGTGTAATTTCATAAAAATTTAAAAATACATACATTTTCAAATGTATGTATTTATAATGAATCTTAGGTAACAACTTAACGTTACATTCCTTAACTACATCATAATGACGAAAAATTCAATATTTAAGAAGCACTATAAAATACGATATAAATCCTATTCATTTACATTTGGAAAAGATAAACTATTTTTTGCATTATTTATTTTTCCCCATTTAATACAAATTTTCACAATATTGAATCAAATATTTTTAATTTTGGTTCAAAAAAAAGAAATCTACTGAAATACTTGATTATCGACAAACTATTGAATACAGAGGGGTATTTATGGGGGGGGGGGGGCCCTCCGAAATGAAAAACACCATAGTTAAAGATTGTTATTTTTAACATAGATATGTCTTAATACTGGGGGTTTCCGAAAATTTATCGCGACACTGAGAATGTTGCTTATGCCATAATTTAAAATTTTATACTTATAAAATATGTTAATTCTTTTAAGAAAATATTTAGTGAATTTTGAGCGATTCTAATAAAAAAATTGTTTATTACAATATAGTTTTAATACTTTTAAAAAATAATAAATCAATATAACAATTGAGTTTCTTATTTCTCTGATGGTGTAAAGACAGTCGCGAAGTCTTATAGTGTTAAAGTAATTTTTTTCGTAATAGTGTGCTTCCTCCTTCCTTTCCACCCAAAAATCAAATACATAATCGGCCCCCTCGAAATTAAAACCTATATACGCCACTGATTGAATATGAACTTAAAGTCGAAAATATGCGATAAAACCTCAAGACGATCTAAATATGAACGAATATTTTTTATTGTGTTTTACTCTGTTATACTATTTTGTTCTTACTTTTAGCCCACTATAAGAATTGAAAAAAAAATGAAAATACATAAATGTCCTTTTATGGACTTTTATTCCACTTACAATGTATTATGCAATTGTTTTCTTAATTTTTAGAATAAAAATATTTCAACTATTATTTTTTATATTAGACTTTATATTACGTATTTTTATTTAATTTTTTTGTATTTATGCTGTTTTTTTTTATCACAGCTTAAATTATAATTTTTAACCTCATTTCTTTTAAATTTTGTAAAAATCATATTCAATACACGATTTGAGAATTGGTTTATTGACAGTCAAAGTATATGTGTTCTAACTGATATAGAAATCAGGGATTATTCTAAGGATTTTTATCAACTACGCATTTTAGAAAATAGAACCATGATCTCAAAATATACTGTCAAATTATAGTTAAAAATTATTATATTTGTAGCTTTTAGGTGAAGTAATTTAAAATGTAACTTATTTAAAGGATATAAAACAATTTAAATTCGTGTTCAAAATATTTTTTTTAATAAATGTCCTTTTTACTTTCCTCATAAATCATAATGTAATGTATAAAATAACACTAAATAACATTCGATTACAAATCAATTACGCAAAGTTTATTATCAAGTGCGCATATAGCTTTTCCGAATACGCAAAATAAGCCCTGATAGAAATATATTGCGTAAAATACGTTTATATAAGAAATTACTATTTTTTTGTTGAAATTCTATGTAGACGCAAACCCTAAATATTAATAATACAACAACCGAGCACAATAAAAAAAATTATATCATTACTTACTATATAATATAAGATACATAAAAATACAAAGTAAATAAATATTTATACATGTATTTTGTGTGAAACTTATTATATACGAAAATAATTATTTTCTGAATCATTTTCAATGTAATAACTACAAAAAAAAAACCAACACGCACGACCATTTAACACTCTATAACCTGATTATCTCTACATTTGCATCAGTTTACCGGTTCATAATAATTGTCACTGATCCCACTTATTGAAAATATACAATTAGATGTAGGATGCTGAACCGTAGAGTGTAGACTTGTAGATATCACGATAACAGAATTGAATCTATCAGTGAATCGCATAGTTACAATAACAGATCAGTAATATTATATTTATATTTTATAAACTTGTCTAATAAAAATGTATTTTCAACTTACAGATAGACGATCTAAAGCCTGGTTCGACGTATTCAATTGATGTAGTTGCTGCAACACCATATCATAGTTCTCCGGCTTCAATTGAAATTACAACAAAATCAACTTGATATGGATTATATCTGACATATCAACCACATCTACGAAGAAAACTATTTGAAATCAACGGACATCCAATATTTGTTCCACAACTTTACAAATGTTTAATCTATTATAAGCTCTCACTCTTTCATTTTTATGCAATTCCCAGTTTCAACTTTATTTATATTATTTTTAAAGTATTCATTTTAAACTACGCTATGATTAAAACTACCGGCTAATATAATGATAATATAATAATCTCAGTAATTAAGATTTTATGCGAGAATTGAAAAATAAAAATAAAAATTAACCTCATAATTTTAATTATGAATTATTAAATATTATAAATAAGTCATAAAATTGAATTAATTATTATAATTATATATTTTTAAATTATATTTAATATTGCTATAAGTTTTGTCAAAGCCAAATCAATCATCTAAATCAGCGGTTCCTAACCTGTGGTCCGCGGCCCTCTAGGAGTCCGTGATACTTATGTAGGGGGTCCGAGGCAGCTCTAACACATAACATACATCAGTACATGACATGAGTGCATTATTATAATATTGTTGGATTTAATATTATTTTTTTTTTTTCATATATTTTTTATTATGTACCTAATAGATAGATTTTATCATTATATGATGTTGTAAAACTTGTGTCTCGATCATCGTATGAAGCTAATAAAAATTAAATTTTTAGAATATTAAAAAAAAAATTAAAACTAAAATAAATAAATTTAAATTAACTGAAAAATTAAGTCAAATAAAAATATTATAAATATTTATGTTTTGTTATGTCTATTAATATAATTTATTATATAAAATAATTATTATAATTTTGGTTTTAATAACATGAGATGTTTTGTAAAAAAAGAAAAAAATGTACTCAAAAAAAAATTAGTAAGGGGGTCCGCAATTCCTAAAAATCTTTCATCAGGGGCCCGTGATCTACAAAAGGTTAAGAACCGCTGATCTAAACCAATACTTTTGTTAAAGTTATTATGATCATTAGGATATTTATATTATTCAATACGTATTTATCAATACGATCGTACATAATTAATATCTTATTATACATGTTTTATGATTTAAATACTATGACAGTTTATAATCATAATTGTTGACACAACCGTATAAGTATGAATAGGTAAATTAATCTAGGGCCTAGTGATAGGTCGAACCCTGATTTTTTAAATCGATTTCAAACTGAACCGAATCTTCTTATTTTCTACCGAACCGAACCGAACCGAACCTATTATGATTTTAAGTCGAACTCGAACTCGAACTTAATACTTTTTAACATGTATATTGTACCACCTACAAATTAAATCAACCATAATTATTAATTACTATTGCATTTTAAGTTTTCGTATTACCTATTCTACATTTTAATTTTTAAGTCTAAGTAATTGTATTATTTACAATACCTACATTTCAATTTTAGATAATTTCTTATTATTATTACTATTTTTCAAAACCAATATTGTGCTCTCTCGTGTTGTCTTGTGTTGTCTTGTAGCTTATAAAATATTTATTGAGTATTGAGTATTGAGTGTAATATGACAATACAATCAGTATATTTTAATAATATATAAAATAAATAGTAATAATAACTATAATTCACAAATATAGAATGATTAGTAGAATTTATAATGTAAGACGTAAGTTGTAAACATGTTTTTATTAACAGCACAGTCGCGGTATCGGAATATTACCATGGATTTACTCAAAATAGATTTTAACCTCTACAATAAATATGATAAAAAACAAAAATAGCTATATTATGAATACACTGCTGCTATTGGCGATAAACAACTTGTTAATGTTTGGTCGGCGGAGGGTGGATGTGTAACATGCGACTGGAAAAATAACATTTTTATTTTTTAATGATAGCATTATTATAATAAATAATATATAACGTGCCCTTTACAGATTTTCACTTTCTATCGTCAATAGTCTAATTATTTCTAAATAATCATTATAAATTTTTATTTTTAAAAAATAACTTGAAGAATTGTACAAATATTTGGTTTTTGAACTATCGTGACCAGTGAGTCTGGTTCGACAAATATTTTCAAATTCGATTTTCGAACATTAAAAGATGCTTGATAGTTCGGTTCAATTTTTTTCATGCCGAGTTCGAATTTCGAACCGAACCGAACATCAAGGGTTCGGTTCATTTCGGTTCGAGATTCGAACAGTTCCATCCTAACCCATCACTATTAGGGCCTTTAATAACTGCTGGTTAACCTGTGATTTATATAATAGTATGGAGGGGTGCCACAACCCCTAAACAATCCCATTGTATAATATAATCAAACAGGAAATTTTTTGTATTAGCAATAATGTAATAATAATCAACAATCGTACATAAAATTTTACTGTATTCGGCGTTATTCTCCATGTATCGTTGTCCATGTATGTAAAATATAGTTGCAAAAATTTAAATTTTACTATAAAGCTATTTGTATTTAGGATTCATATTTATGTGTTATCAGGCCCGGATACAAGGGGGGGGGGCTATGGGGGCTAAAGCCACCCTTTTTAGACATATCGAACGTAAGTACATAAGATATTAAACAAATTAGATGTAAGAATGACTTCATACAAATCGACAAAGAATTATGGTAGTAACTCATTTTACTAGCCCTCCTTTTTTTTTTCATTTCTATATCCGCTCCTATGTGTTATGTAGTGTATAATGTATACCTACTATATATTATAAATATAATCTCAGTATAAATATTATAAGTTATTGAAATAGTACATAAAAGAAAAACGAGTATTATTAGTAGTAGGTATTTGCAATTAGGTAGATTATGTTCTACGAGAAACCAACGATGTAAATCATGAATGTACGCTTATTACTTGATATTATCACAATATATTCATTGAACAGCTAAGGCTTAAGTTCTCCCCCATCCAATAGCAAACGTTATTTCCAAATATTATTACGGTGATATTAAAGAAGAAAATATAAAAATATCAAAGGCCCATGAGGGAAGGATAGATTTGGTTGGAAAAAAAAAATTAAATTAATTATGTAAAATATTTTCAATAAATTAATTGATAAAATTAAGAATTAATTAATTCAAATCTATTTGTCAGCGCGTTCTGTGGTAACACAGTAAATGACGAAGTATTTGTCTCTATGTTCATACCCATTGTTGTAAATATTATGGTTTGATAACAGTATCATAAATGATAACAGAATAAAACAACAAACAACAGCAACAATCTTTTACTGTACTCTAGGTGTTATTCAATTTATTTAGTATTTCAGTAGTCATAGTGCGTGTAAATATTATTCGCTCTACTTTTAAGTTAATCAAATTCTGTGAATTTAGTCAGAGAACTTAATTTTCTGTGTATAATTTTGATTCAAAGGAAATGTATTAAAAATGATTAAAGGTATTTGTAATTGATAATTGTTTTACTTTCATTTTCAACGTGTTATTATTAATGAGTTTAAAAATATACATTTTACAGAAAATACTGAAGTAATCAAAGGACCTGAGAAAGTGGACGAATTTTTGTTGTCTCTTTTTAAAGCTTTAGATAGACAGAAATCTAAAGATGATCGTAAATCAGTGGAAAAGAAAGTAGGTTTTTTTTTCATGCTGTGATTCTGTTGCTATATTCACTTTCAAAATATTTAATAGAATTTTATATAAACGATTTTCTTTAGATTTAATATATACTATTTGTAGGTATGTATTACAATAGTTAACTAAAATTACATTAATTACATACATTTTTGAGTTTATTTTTTATTTTAATTTTTGAAAATTGATCACTAAAGTCAAATCTTTGTATGGTCTTCAATATCTACTGTATATATCATTATTACATTTTTTCTTAACTAAAAATTATTTTTAAATGTACAAATATAATGTATTAATTTTTATAAGCTATAGCTTATCAATTATAGTTTAGTATTTGTTTTTTGACAATTTGATGTCTTGAGTTGTGGATTATATTTGACTAATTGTTAAAAAATAGTACTAGCAATTTTAATGTATTAGTAAAAATGAAATATAATTATTTCAAATAATCATTATATTTTCCAAAGGTGATTGTTCGAAGGTTGCCCCCAACTATGACTGAAGAACGATTCCTCAATGAAGTGTCTCCTTTACCCGAATTCAATTACATGTATTTTATACCTGGTGATTCTCATGCAGTACCATTCCATCATTCAAGAGTGTATATTAATTTTCTTAAAGAAGAAGATCTATATATGTTTACTGACAAATTTGATGGTTACGTATTTGTAGATGACACTGGCAAGTAAAATTAAATTATGTATTATAATACATTATTTAGACAGGTGTATCGGATAAAATTGATTTTCAATACTTTTATAGGTGATGAGTACCCGGCTATAGTTGAACTAGCGCCATACCAGAGAATACCAAAAAAAAAAATTGATAAGGATCCCAATTGGGGTAAAATACATGAAAACCCAGTGTTCTTAGAATTTAAACGAAATTTTGAACAGAAAACTATTGATACTACACTAAAAACAACCCAGCACTTTTTCGAATCTGTTGAAGGTACATCTATACTTAAATTTCTTTGTATGTATTTCATTCTAATTGTGTTTTTATTTTTCTAGATAAATCTCAAGAACAAGATATAAGTACTCCACTTCTTGAATATTTGGCAAAACAGAATGATAGGCAACGTTCACGGGTAAATCAAAGAGATGAACGCCGAAAAAAAGTCTTTATCAAAAAACAAGAAAAAGAAGATATTCGTCGATTCAAAAAAGTAGAAAAAGAGATTTTTATTAAACCTAAACCAGTAACCAAAATCAGCACAATTAGTAAAAGAGTAATTGATGAAAAACCCGTAAAAGATACAAGCCAAAAGTACATACATTTAATTATTTTTTATTAGATTAGATATTACATTTTTAAATAAGTTCAACAGTTTCATAATATCATTAACTTTACGATTTCAATTTAATCTAAGTAGTTTAACTTTTGTGACAATTCTGTTATGGTTAAGATAAAAATATAATCTACTATGTAGATAAGTGAGTGTGTAATATAAATATTTTAGGTGTGAAATGTAATATGTAGGTTTCAGATTTTAATACCTTGAAAAAAAAGAATAGACTATAATTCATTACCTTAAAAATTAATTAAGTTTCGAGTTTTCTTCTAATTTATTGAGATACAATTGTTATACGCAGGCAACAAAAGAGAGTTTAAAAATAATTTATATGAAAACTAAATTTTATTAGGTATTTAAAATTTAATTTTAAAATGTTTTTATATTTTAATTACATTATATCATATTTAAAAATAGATTTTCCATACATTTCACTCAATACTGGATGAAAGTGAAAATAATATGCTGTAATTAATCCACCTTTTACATGCATCTTTTATATCATTTAAAATTGCTTTGAGTATAAAATGAGATTAGACAATTGTATATGATATTATTATGTTAAGGCTAAAAACTAATCACTGTTATGATATGTTAAGTTAAATTAGTTAAATTTATTTTTAATACAAAACATATACCTATCATTATTAATATTGTTGATTTTACTTTTATTTTTAGAAAGATGATTAAAAGTTATAAAGATGACTCAGGATTTATTGGTGAAAAAAAAAAGTATTATGATGAAAGTCATAAAATTAAAATTGATGATAAAACTAAAAGTGAAGACAGTCATAAATTCAAAAGTGATGAAATTCAAAAAAATAAAAGTGAAGACTTATCTAAAGATGACGAAATCAAAAAAATAGAATTTAAAATAAAAACAAATAAGCTAAATAATACAAATAAATATTTTGATAATGACTTGAAAGATGAAATTCCTTTGAAATCTGAAAAAGTGAACATAGATAATTTTAAAGAAGACATTGATATTGTTAAAAATCCAGATATCCCAAAACCAGATACCCCAAAACTAGAAACTCCAAAACCAGAAAATATAGAAAATAAAACTAGTGGATCATTGAAACACAATGATTCATATAAAGAAAATGATATTGAAATGGATGAATATAATAAAAAATATTCGCCTGATGGAGATAAAAAAAATGTTCAATGTAAACGAGTTGATAATCGCCGCCAAGATTCCAAGACTGAACGTCGCATTAGAAACAAAGATCGCCCAGCTATAGAAATTTATAGGCCCGGTATGGGCAGATTGAGTAAAATTAAAGTAGAAAATGACTCTGCTGAATCAAAATCTAAGAAGTAATAATATAATTATAAAAAATTTTCTTGGTTATTGATTTTCAAGCTTTTCTCCACTAATTGTATTACATATTAAAATTATGTTTTGTAATAATAATAACAGATTATGTTATATCTGTTAGTTTCGTTAACAACTGTACCTTCTACAAGTATGTATCCAGGGATGAATTAAATAGCATACCGTGAAAAATTACATTATATTTTATACGCATGTTATAAATACTAACTTTACCATTCTATTTCAATTAAAATCAAGTCAATTAAAATACAAATATTTTATAAATTTAAATTGTTTAAGTACAGATTTTTCAATTATATACCAACAGTGTATTGCAATAAGTTATATAACAGTGTAATATTTCTTATTATAATTCATACTTTATTAAAAGGATGACTTGAACCACTATTAATATTGTATCCAAAATTAATTCATTTATTTTATGACACTAGCAAAACTTGATGAAATGTAAAAAAAATATTCTATAAAATATAATGTATTCTCACAGCAATAAAGTACAAATTATGATTTTTCTTTTTTTATTATTAGAACTTAGCAGGTCTGAGACCTGCAGAAGAGCTTGTTTTGGGTATAATTAACATTGTAAAATTGGAAAAATATTCACAATTTGATTTGTTCAATATTAATATTATATTATATCTTTATTTTTTATTTTGAATTATTCATGGGTATTTAAAAACTCATATTGTGCAACTGACTAAAATACTTTGTACCCATAAAAAATTCTTGATGAAAATTCAAGTTTTACTTAGTAGAAATTGCGTAAATAACTGAATTTCGAAGTTTAATTTGTAAATTCGTTAATTTTCACTTGTCGCCGCCGAGTGTACTTTCTTGTCCGCGCCACGATGACTATTTAATTATTGTATCTGTCCATGGATTCGATGTAGCCCTGAAATCTTCCCCAAACTCGAAAGACATTGCTGTTGATGGCTCCGCAAACAAATACATTCTTCTAGGCCAGTTCTATTTGGACTGGATCTACGTTGATTAAACAAAACAGAATAAAAGCACTATCGAATCGTATTTACGAATATTATTACTATGTAAAGGGACTAAATTGATAATTTCTTTTTTTTCACCAAAACGAGTATTTCCGATAGTTTTAGAGACATTTAGTGTGTATAAGGTTTGTCGCTCGTTAACAACTTTATGAAACAATAATTGTTTTTTACCTTTGCGACTCGACTGTCTATCTGAATATTACGTTTTCACCGGTGCCGCTAAACGGATACCACGTTGCACGAAAAAGTATTTGGTCAAAATCTCAGATTATAGGTATAGGGTACTGTCAGGTATTGACTACCTGACAAATATTAGTATAACATGGTTTCTTTTTATTATTATTAGGTACTCCGGTTATCGTACATCTTTCATTTTAAAAAATATATATTTGTGTAATTTATATCCCCAAAAATAACATAACGGTGGAAAAAGAACAAGTTCTAAACTCTCTCCCAAAAAAGTCGGCCTATCAAAGTAATGAAATCTACATTGTGGCCGAGTCTGGTATATTTTAATTAATAAGCTCTCTGCACTCCTACATTAAAGAGCAATACTCTTCTTTTATTTGTATTGTTTAACATTTGGCCAGTTTCTGATTGAGACATAAACTAGACTTGACCGCAATGTAAATAGGTACCACTACCTACTATGATTCGCTGTCTTTTTTGAAAAGAAATCTAAACCTTTTTCTTTGTTCTGAGTTCTCTTCTCCCCATCACCCACGTAAGTCATAAATGAGTACATTCGATAATGATGTTTTATGCCTCATTCAAAAAATGGACAAGTGTTAAACAATATAAATAAAAGAGAAGTGTTGCTCTTTAATTTAGGAGTGCAGTGAGGTTATGAATTAAAAAATACCAGACTTAGCCACAATGTAGATTTCACTACTTTGTAACTTGGCTTTTTTTCACCGTTATGTTATTTTTGGGGATATCATTTATCTTCTGGGCTTCAGTATCGTGGACGACGTGTTATTATTATTATTTTTTTTTAATTTTTTATTTTATTATTTTTTTTTTTATGTCGTAGATTTTCTATTGTAAGACCATTTGGGTTTCCGTTGAGGATCTGAGAAATTGGACTCTTGAGCGTTGTCAATACCAGGCAATGATAACCATGTATGGTCTTTTATTTTTCGTCGTCGATACTTTTTAGATAGAATGTCTGTTAAGTTTGGCCCTATACAAAGTTCTTAGACTGTTATATTCAACAATGGCACTATCCTTGGCTTTCATCTGACAGGGATCAAAATTAATTAAGTAAACTCCTTTGAGGCTCGTCACGATACGGTCGTGGCTATTTCGGTAACTAATAATTCCATTCAATTCATAAGAATATTCAGTTTTTCATCAATATTTTCTTATGACGTTACCACGTAAAATTATCGTCCGCACACCGATGAATATTATTAAAATATTCTGTATTTGAATAATTATATTATATTTTGTATTTGAATAAAATTAATTTACGAAATCATTATTATGTTTTATAAATATATATATATATATATATATATAAGCCAAGTACAAACAATTTCTTATTATCATATTGTAACGCTGATTGAAATAAAATGTATATGCGTGCTAAGCGCGCCACTTCATACGTTTAGAAATACATTCTCTAAAGCGGCATTCATTTTGAAAAAAAATTGAATTTTTAGATTTTTATCTTTAGTTACACTGTAAAACCTACCTTTGTACCAAATTACACGTTTCTACCTATACGGGAAGTGTCTTATAATTTTGATGATCAGTGAGTGAAAGAGTCAGTAACAAAATTGCAAATTTTGAAATTCTCCCATTTTGAAATGGTACAATATTAAGGGCTCATTTTTTTATAGCGTCCTAAGATACTCGAGATTAATCTGTGTTTTAAATTTGAAAAGTTTATCTTAAGAGGAAATAGAGAAATATGGGTTAGAATAACCGGACGAATTAGTTCGTGTAAAGATACACTGGCATTGCTGGAATTGGCCGGCGCACTGCCATGCACTCAGATAACTATTTTACCATGTCAAGTTCTAAAAATGATTCTGAACCGATTGCATTACACAAAAAACGTGATTGTTTTATCAGTACGCAAAGATCATTAATGTGGTAATTGTTTGCAAATAAAATTAATCGTGCTGAACATTCCAAAGGAAATAATGAATAAAATGTAAGTACTACAGTAGTCACTCGATAATTCGAACCTCGATAATTCGAAAAACTCCATAAATCGAACTAAACGCTAAGTCCCATGAGAAAACCTCTATAATTAGAAAAAAATACATGTATTCCGGTCCCCTCGATAATTCGAAATGTCTGTCGGTGAGGCACACTCTACAATTCGAATTTTTTTTTCACGAATCTCTATAATTCGAATTTCACACAATAATATTCCTCATCTTGAAAATATAAAAATTAATTTTTTACCTCCCAACACTACATCAACTTTCCAACCACTAGACCAAGGAATAATAAAAATTTTTAAAATGATGTATCGAAAGGAAATTGTTCGAGAAGTGTTGGCGTGCATGGGTGATGTTCCATGTAAAATTTCTATACTCACTGCTATGAAAATGGTACTCAAAGCATGGGAAAATGTTAGTGCACAAACCATCGTGAATTGCTTCAGAACTTGTGGTTTTATTAAGGATGGACAGAAAATTGGTGAAGGTATTCCTGTTCAAAGTGAGGAGGTTGAAGTTCTGCTTAGCACATGGAACAGACTAGAAGTTCCCGTATCATTTGAAGAATTTGTTCACTTTGACGATAATGTCGCAACTGCTGGTACTTTTACTGACGAGGAAATTATTCAATCCACTTCAGTCAATCAGCACAATTCTGACAATGATGACGAGGAAGAGGAGGCGGAGGTTCCTGTCATATCGTTAAAAGAAGCAAAATTGTTTATGTCAGGATTACGTCAATTTTTTGAACAATCTGAAATGGACGAAAAAAGATGCGATACAATTTTTAATGCTATTATTAAGTTAGACAATGCTATGGACCAGATTGCGACCAACAATTTTTCACAAAAAAAAAAAACAGATTTCTTTAATATGTAATATGTATATAAAATATAATACTATGTATGTGTAATAAATAAATATCAATTAAAAATTTTAAAATGTACATAATTATATTTATGATAAGTTAATGTCAAAATAAACGTTATATATATATATATGTATATATCGTACAATGTATTTTATTTATTAATTTTTTTCCTTCGATTATTCGAACACTCGGTAAATCGAAAACCTCTATAAATCGAATTTTTAACTCGGTCCCCCGAATTTCGAATTATCGAGTGACTACTGTACTTATACTAGTAATGATAATTGAGCACCTGTACATACTAGTAATAATTTTTCGGATTTTCAAAATGTTGTTGAAAATAATGTACAAAAAAATATATTTTTTGATGCATTAGATATTGGTAACTTTATATTGACAATAAAAGTTTCAAAGTTAAATAATGATAAAAAATAAATTGCATTGTCAAAAACATGGAGACCGGATAGTTGCGATCAACAGATTATAATAATTTATTATTACATTATAATTACAACAGACGGTTGTGGAAAAACTATCATTCGAACGAACGGACGGTTGTCAGGAAAGCTTACTGGTGATGGTGTCCAGCAAATTGATTGTGATGTAGTTTGAAAAACGACAGTCCCAGCAAAAGATCGATGTAAAGTCACTCAGTTTGTCACCGGTTCCGGCAGCTGTCCCTACTTCTATCCGGTGTACGCGGGAGGTGAGTGTTTGCCGAAACGGTGTTATCGTCACCCGGATTGTGGCTGGATAGAGAGCAGGTGGCGCGATGTAAGGTATAAAGTATATAAGTCTGTATTTGAAGATGATACTGAAGGAGAGAAAAATTAAATTGACAAAGGCCTCACCGAAGTTTAATAAGGAGTGTATCGTTCTAAAGATTTTGATGCGTTGCATTTGGCGTTTAAATGGTTTGAGGGCACGACGAATCGAACACCACTCAATTGTCACAATTAAGGACATTGAAGGACTTAGCTCCTCTAAAAAAAACGAAGATTACTTAAATATTATAATTTTTCAAACATATGTAATAACTCAAGTAAAAACCAAATCAATTTTTTCTTTTTTTAATTTTAAAATATTTATAGCTTGTCCCTTCTCATATTTATGAAATTAGTTATTTGTATATTGTCACAAATGTTAAATTATACTTTTAATGTCTCATAATTCAGTTACCTAAATATTTGTTCATCCGGACAACACTTGATATTAATTAGTCCAAATAAATGGTGTTATACTAGTACTATAAACTAAATATAATGAACACTTATAAAATAAATATAATAATGGGTAATAATTAGGGCTCGGCAGTGGTGGATTGGCCCGGCGAGTTACCGAGGAAAACTCGGTGGGCCGCGACAATTGTTGGCCTTTTAAGTTGTGAAAGGTCGCTAACAGTAATCTTATTTATGATACCTAGTCATAATTATTTATGTATGAAGTACGCCTCAATAATTTCGGTGGACATAGAAAGATAATTTTCTATGTAAAAAAATATTTTAAGCCAAAATCGTCAATGTTTTACTGAAGATAGCTTACCTGAGTACATGATAATATATTTTTTATTTAATACCAACTAGTTAGTCTATTTAATTTTGTAATCATTTTTTTAATTTCTTTTTCATATAAATGTAATGCCTTTTTCACATTTTAATTGCTTTTTTTTATTGATTATATATAGTCTTCAAATCTGAACCTTAGTTATAATTCTAAAATTCAAGATTAAGAAATTCTTTGTTGATAAAAAAATTAAATTTTAAATTTGTTTGTTTAAAGTTGTTATTAGCGAGATTATATGTATAAAATAAATTGTTATAATAAAATACGGAATATTTCAGTTATATTTTTTCAAAGTATTATATTATTATTTTGGTATTAGGTATTCAAAGAATTATTTTATATATTTTAGTAATTTGTACTGGTTAAAGAAAAGATAATAGGTTATAATTATATATAGAACTATTATTATAACTTCATCCTATTAAACCATCTGCAAACAGCAAATATCCCTTTGCGCTTTGTATAGTTACGACGTCTAACTATAGTTTTTTATACCTTCAGTGAAACTCTTTACAAGTCAAATCATAACTTCACTCTTTGGATTTCAAGCAATCGAAATTCTACATATTATTTTGCGTAACTCGTCCATCGATGATTTCGTTACGTCTGCACTTTAAAAATAGTGTCTACTTTGTGACGTGGACGAATGATTATTATATTCATTAATCACGTATCACTTTAAATCTTTCACCGTTACGGGTGCACCGCGGTGGCTAGACGAAAAAATGATACAATTACACATAACGTAGTATACCGCGGTATATGTCGTACTGTCTTCGAAATTATATACAATATTTTTACATTACATGTATTGTAATATAAAAATATATAATGGAGGAATAAAATTTAATGTTATACTATATTTATTACACAAAATCATTTACTTTTCACATAATAACGTGTGTATATATATATTTATACACATACAAACATACTATATATATATAAATATATGTATATAATATATTGTAATAATTAATTATTTAATAATAATAATAATTATAATAATGATATTTCGTTTATGTCTACAGATGATAATAGTATCGCCACGTGTCCGACACGATGATACATTATCATTATTAATATTTAATATTACACATGAGCCTTTTTTTTTCCCCGTCGTCCGACGACAGTGGCCGCAGGCTGCAGCTAATAGCTATTCGTAACGCCATCGCATCGCTGGCCGCGACCGTCGTCGTGCGCACGTTTATTATTCTATTATTATTATATTATCGCTATGTTTACTCGTCGTAGTACTCGTCCGCGTACTCGTAGACGGGTCGCATTGGCCTCCGGTTAGCCGCCGGTACCGCCCTCACGTTTTTGTTGCTGTACTGCGCGCGAGGTTGGTCCACGGGCTGCTGCTGCTGCTGCTGCGGAGATCTGTACCTGTGCGGCCCGGCCATCACTTGCCGGACGCTGACCCTCTGTGACTGCCGTTGCGGCTGCTGGTAGACCGCGGGTTCTTCTTCTCCGTCGTCCACGACCGCAGCGGCCATGGCTGGTGACCGGACTTTGCCCGGTTTCTGAGGCCTGACCAAGAACGGACCGGACGCGCGTTGTTTGGTCGCCGCGGCGATGGACTTCCGCGTGGCCGCGGCCGGTAGTTCGTCCTCGTAGTCGTCCGCCGCCGCTGACGCAGTCACGGCCGGCCTCATGCGCGCCGCGACCGGTAGCGGCTGTGCCGGGGCCAGCACTTTATTATTGGCTTTGGGTCGCGCGGCCGTAACCGACGTCGGCCGCCGGCCGCTGCGATCCACCGTGTCGTAATCGACCGTCGTCACCACGGACGTCCGAGCGGTCGCTTTGGCCGGCTTTACTGGTGGCTCGGGTTTGACAACGGCCGCGGGCTTGATGGCTACCGGCGCTTCCGGTTCTAATGCGTACTCGTCTTCGGCCATCTCTTCCTCTTCATCGTCGTAATACTCGACTGGTTCTTCGATCACCGGCCGTTGCAGCTCCTTGGCGCCTTTGGATGCCACGGACTTTGCAGGCGGAGCTTCGGTGGTGGTGGTGGTGGTGGTGGTAGTGGTTGTCGTGGTCGTAGTCGAGGGGGTCGTGGACGGCGAAGCAGCGGCCACTGGCTGTTGGCCCGTTTTTGACGCGGAAGTGTAATCGTACCGCTCCCGTTCGGTGATCGGCACCGGCCGACGGATCTTTGGTGGAGCCCTAGGCTTGTCGTACACCGATCCTATTTGGTTCGACACGTTTTTCGTCACTACCGTAGCCTGCTGCTGCTGCTGCTGCTGCTGCTGCGGCTGTTGCTGCGGCGATTGGTACTGCTGTTGCTGTTGCTGTGGTTGTTTTTGATGCTGTTGCTGGTGCTGCTGTCCTCTGTTTTGTTTGAAATTACCGTTTGGCTGCGCATCCGATTCGGAAGAACTGCTCTCCTGGTAATCCGCTTCCAGATCCGTCGGCTTGTAGTCTGAAACGTTAAACTCAATTAACACCGGAAGGTTGTGTTTTTGTGTAATACAAATAGGCAAAATCTTAACAGGACACCATTCGTCTTTCGAATTTATGTTTTGTTTATATAAGATAACTCACTCGTCTAACACTTATGTACTGGTACACGTTCACCGATTATTTTATTTTAATTGCAGTTGTACTATCGAGAAAACATGTAACCGATTGAAATATCGAGAAACCTTTGATTATATATTCTTGATTAATAAACACATAGAATACGTAAGGGTATAATGGACTCCCACATTTCCGAGGATAATTAAAAAAAAAAAGGTTAGGTTTATTATGTAACAAAAAAATTAAACATTAATAAAAGAAAAAGGTTTTTTTTTGTTATTTTTTTAAAAATGATACCGTCCAAATGATAGCCTTAACGAGCTATGTACGTATGATGTTGTTCTCGAAAGTTTTCCATCACTCTAGCTAACATATCAAGTAGAATAACGACGATTTCTTGTTAGATAGCCTCCTTTAATTCTTCAATGATTCTAGGTTGACGTATGAACATTTAAGGTACTCCCATAAGAAATCATCACATGGGCTCAAATCGGGAGAGCGAGAAGGCTATGTAACATTATTACAAAATTTTACAAAATGGCGTAAGAACGACGGGGCCGTATGAGTTGTAGCTCCATTTGGTTGAAATTATAAGTCATTATTAATATCTCATTCTTCCATTTTCGGATGTAAAAAGTTTTCCAACATCTCGCATTACCGATTGGAAATTACAATAATAATTAACGCCACCATCTTCAAAAAAAATTAAGCCCCACTATGCTTACTGAGGATAAAGCACAATAAACTATGACTAGGAATGTGAAAAAGTCATTTTAAACATTGATCTAGAACTATTGAAGAACTGAAAAAAGCTGTTCGTCAAGAAATTGAGGTGATTCCACTCGATATGCTAACTAGAGTGATGGAAAACTTACAAGAACGACTTCATATATGCATTGCTCGTCAATGCCGCTATTTGGACGATATAGTTTTTAAAAAATAACAAAAAAAAATCTTATACTTCAAACTTTCTATTTGTACAATTTTTTTTTCTTATCACGTACCCCCCATTTTTCAATTGCGTTTTGTTTGAAATTTCTATAGTTTTTCAATTGGTTGTGTTGTGACTGCACTGCACCGAAAGGATGCACTCATCGTATGACGTATATACGCATAGAAGATTGTACTTCGAATATGTACAACGCATATCCTGCGGTACACGGCATTTACTTGTTATAACAAAAACGTACTACATGTACATAATACATTATTGTAATACTTTTATACGGACAGAGCGTGAAAGACTTTCGATATATTATTAAAACGGTTTTAGATCACCGAATAACATTTTCTACGGCGAATGGGAGGGACACATTATTAATAATTTATATATAGGAAACGAGTTTGAGTTTTCAATCTTCTCTTACGCCTAAACATTTTTAAGAGAAATCATGCATTTCATTATGCCGTGTGGATTTGTAATTTTATTATGTCAATTTGAAACTATTCGCTACAAATACAACTCTATTAGTCAGATAAATTTTTTTTATGACCTTGCATCGAAAATGTTCAAGTGTACGCAATAGTATAATTTATTCATATAATATATAGACAACACTGACTTTCAAATCGATTCGTACGACAATTATACGTTTTTATATTATTAAAAATAGAAATATAAAGGTATATATTAAATTATGGATATTGTACGTTTCACAATTTTTTTTTTTAAATTAAATCCTCATTAGGCCAGGTCATTAGATAACAACTATTTTGATTTTTTTCTACGTAACTCATAAGACTTTTTAAAAAACAAATGTTTTTTTCAAATTAATTCAGTTTCCAGCGAAATGTATGTATAACGACAGACAGCGTCTTTAAAAATGTTTGTGTATGTGTATCTTGTACAATATACAGGCAGGTAATAGAAAATTATTAAAAATATTAAAAAGAATAAAATTTAAAAAGTAAAATAAAATTAATAAAACACTCACGACGACTACTCACTTGTGTCAATGAACATAGTATTCGCGCGTGATATTTAATTTAACTACATTGCATATTGTTATTAATGCGTTCGAAAACATCTCATTGGACATGTTTGTAATAGCGACAGGCTTGTTATGTTATAGCGTGTTATACAATAGGGGAATAATAATAATTCGACGCGTCGATATCCGCGGTGGGTTTTAATCACGTTACAACAGTTAGAAACATCATTACAATAGGTTCTGTACGTTGTATAATTTTACATTTTGTATTTCATTTCAGTAAAATAATACCATCAAATATGTATTGTACTAATATACTAACTAGATCTATCTATTGAAGAATTTCAAATAACTCGTCAACCTATCGGTTTTGCACGCTCACCGTCAAACTGTTTAGTTTCTTTAAAGTTTTAAGTTTTTTAATTGCACGCGATGAGTATATATAAATAAAGGCATATTAATATTATCGTATCGCTGGTTGTACATATAATAGTAAATAGTCCAAAAAATACCTAAAAGACGAAACCAAAAACGAAAATGCAGGTTACCTGTTCTGCACATTATATACAGCTACAAGTCGTGTGTATACAAGCGGGACGATTGCCACTTTGAGGATTACCCGTGATTCAATAATGATATTTATAACAAAACACTCACTGTTGAACCTAGAATGTTTCCTGATGGGTTTTTTTGCTACCGGCATGTGTTCGACGCTGTCGTCGTAGTAATCCTGTTGGTCGTCATAGTCGTCTACATAATAATACTCATACACGGGCCTACGTCTTCTGTATGTGGGCCTGCGTTTCCGGCCCTGAGCGAATCCGGGTGGCATGGCCCTTCGTCCTTCATACGGCATTTGCTGCTGCTGTTGTGGTTGCTGCTGATACTGCGGGTAGAACGGCTGTTGTTGCTGTTGTTGTGGCTGGTAAAACTGCTGTTGTTGCGGAGGTGGTGGAGCAGGAGTTGTCGATGTGGACGTAGTGGTCGTCGATAGTGTCGTCGTCTCGGCCGCTTTGTACAACGCTTCATTTCTGCACATTGTTATTGTATATTACAGTATATTCGTACGAAATGTTAGTTTTTAATAAGTATTAAATAAATAAATAAGTAAGTAAATGAATAAAGCTAATGAGCATAGGCGGAATTTGGAGGGGCGCAAGGGGGCAGTTGTTTCTCAAGAAAAAATATTAAGGAGGCAAACTTATCATTTTGCTCCCCTTCTTAGTTAAAAATTATTTAAACAATTTTTAATTTTTATAAAATATTTATGTTAAAAATAACGTTTGTACAATTATATAAAAAAATTATTAATAATGTAATAGTGTAAAAATGTATGATATATACATAAGTTGAATGTGAGTCGATTTTTAAATTGATTAGTAAACTGTGATTTAGGAAGGCTGCTCTTTAACAAATCAAACCTAAAAAAATATTACAGGCGTTTAGATAGAATACAAGGGGTTGTACATCACAAGCCGATGAAAGAGTATTAACTTTAGAGAACTCATGATTGATGAGATCGTAACAGACAAAGGAGTTTATCAAAAGCCACTAAAAATCTTGATGGCCTGTTGATATTGAGTTGTACCTACATTAATCTTTCATAATGATATGTATAAAAAAAATTATTCTTTTTAGTATGATTAAACTGTGGTATTTTTGGTCTTACACGTTTTCTTAATAAAATAAGTATATACAAAAAAAAAAAAAAAATAATAACAATAAAAAAAACGTATACATGTATATTTAAGAAATTCATATACGCAGACCACACATAATAATTCGACGTCTCATAGTTCATAATTTAACCACAGTACGATAAATAGTTCGATACTATGCAACATACAATACTATGTACGTATAATATTAAAACGTTCATGTGGGATGTACGTCCGACGCAGTGGTCGTCGCGGTTATGATACGATGATATAACTATTGTAAATACGTAATTATCATAAATTACCTGTTGAAGTACTTGGCCGAATTTGGACAATCCACCTGGGACACGAAATGGCAAATGAATGTCTTTTGATCGAAAGCGGTGTAGTTGGCGCACAGGAAGTCGAACCTCGTGCCGAACAGACAATGATGGTAGAGCTGCAGTGACGCATATTTCAACAAAACAGTATTAGGATCAGATATAATATTGTTTGTGACATTTAACAAAATATATAATTGTTGTACATCGACACATCGATATTATTGTTTTTCCGTTGAAACAACTAGCTTCCCATTACATCCGATAAGGTTTTTAATATGGACCACTATATTCTTCTATCCCCCGGTCATTTAATCAGACGATAGTTATTTATAAATTGTACAATTCGTATTGGTACATTTATAACAGATTTGTCAAATAAGTTTACGCCGGCTTTGCAGCCAAAGATGGAAAAAAATAGTCCGTTCCGAGAGAAGTTTACCAGAGCTCAACGAAAACATGAACGCGTTAAAGTACGTGCACATTTCGCACTCGCTTGAAAATTGTTTCACACGCTATTATTTGATAGGGTAACATTTTAGGGAAGAGGGAAATCATGATACATATTTGTATTTTCTGCCTCGTCCGAGAGGTGAAAATAAGATATTTTAATTTTTTCTGATAAGCTCCAACACTCCTAACTCCTACTACTCTCAAGACTCAATAATAACGTCATCGTCGGTTCATGGTACAACGCACAGAATCGATAATTTACCTGACATTTATGGGGCACGCTAGCATAAAATCCATCGTGCAACCCGTCGCATTTGAATTCGATCTCCTCGGGCACCGAGTTCAAGAACGGATATTCTGACAAGTTGTACCCGTTGAGTTCTCTGGGCAGATTTGGGTCGTGCACGTAGTCGATCTGCGGTATGCCCGTCAACGTGGGCTTGGTAGTCGTAGTCACGTTCAGTTCGACAATTTGTTCCCCATTTTCGTCCAACTCAACCGCTGCTTCATCCAGGTCCTGCACAGGTTCGTGCACAAAAACGCATATAATTATACACTTGGACGAGTTGTACACGTTAAAAGCGATCCCGTTTTTGGACCACTAAGTGTTAACGGTTAAATATCATAACCAGGGTTCATAACTTATAGCATTTACATTTTTTTTTTTGAGAAGTCCTAGAAATATCTAAATGAGCTATATATTTGTTTTAGATAACTAAGAAGCTAAATGCGAAATTTTATGTTGTATATTTTTGCATATTTCAAAGTATAAGTGTTATTTTTTTTTTTATTATTTATTTTACTTTTTTAAGTCTTTTTCAGTTTTTTAGCATTTAAAATATTTTTTCTTAATGATTAAAGTAATTATAGTAGTATTAATTTTTATATTTGTAATTAATTCATGTTAATTAACTAATTTTTCTTCTTTTGGTTTAAATTATGTACAGGTATTTATTTGTACATATAGCGACGCGATCGGAATTTTAATAATAGGAGTTTACATTTTTTTTTATACATGATATGTTTTTTTTTAATAAGTGAAAATTGTGTTTTTTCACATGATACATTTTTTTTGTATTTTTAGTGCATGTTTAAGCGCTTATATGAATATTTTTAAGAGCATTTTATACCGCTTATAACTACTTTTTTTAGAGCTATAAGTTATGAGCTCTGATTATAACATTATAATCATAATATGGACAACTCGCAGTTACCGTTTGAAAATCAATTGTTTTTATTTTTAATTTTTAATTTTTTTTACATTTTACACTCTTATGCAAAATAAGAGTAATATCTATGCTGTAAACTGCAGATATATAAGTACGATGACAACAACATGGATCAACACCGAATTAATTAATTTGTTACACTGATCATGAATAGCATGAACGTAATATAAAATTTCTGTGAATCACATAATGAATATTATAGAATAAAGTGCGTACAATTTTGAACCTTTAAAAACGAACCCATGAGGTTTGCTTTGGGTTTAGTAGAAAACGAGTAAAATTAATTGAATCAATGTGCATCGTAATAAATCATTGTTTACTGAATATTACAAGCCTTTACAAGTTAATACAAGGTAACGGTAGAATCTCAAATGTTTAAGTTCCAAGTGGAGCAAATTTGAATTACTAATAATTTTAAAGGTTTTTGAGTGAGGAAAAATTGCAAAGAAAATTATTTTTATTGGACTTTATATAAACATTTTATTTTCGATTATGTCAAGAGTAAAGTATACTTATACCTTATAAGGTCCAAATAATCATTAGTTTAGTCAAATTAAACTGTAGACTATAGTAGATTAATATGTAGGTATATAAATATGTTTAAATGTTCTATCAAATATAATATTTAGGGTATTTTTGTTAAAATATATTTTAAAGTAGTAATAATATACTCATAACATGATATCATTAGACTAGATTTCCATATGCACTTTTTTTTAAACGGAATTAAAATTGTTAAAATTTTTCATAGGTTAAATAATTCATCCAGATAAGGCAAGTTACACGCCTATCACAACAATAGGTTGTTTTTAAATAGATAATGATTACGTTTCATTGCTTAACTATAAGCACGACTATACTGCCGAATATGATTTCGAGTTTTTTTTTTTTTATTCTAATGGCGTCTATCTGAAGAACCTCGACATTTCTAAATAGACACTATATACGCACCGAATTTTTTTTGTCTGCTTTCGTTCTTGCTTGAAGTACAACAGCCGACCCTCGTAGTGCATCTAAATCTGCTACAAATATGGACCATGTTAGTAAACCTGTAATTAAAATACATGAATGTCATTAATTAAACTTCATTGTATATCATGTTTTACAAATATGACAATCAAGATGGCTTTCTATATTTTCATTGGATATGTTTGTTTGAATACTTTAAAAATAATGAAATTATAACATAAAAATTGATAAACAAAGTTTTTATCCAACAATAATCACACCTTTCTTGCGACACATGTAAATGCAACCCGGTACGGGTCCTCAAGGACCACGAAAGTCATGACCAATCCAATCCAAAAAAAAAAAAAACATCAAGGTCTTTCGTGTTTATTTATAAATTAATATGTGTAAGCAGTATAACAAAGGATGTTAAATTTAGTTATTTAATTTTAAAAATTAACGATTATTAATAAAATTCTAATTTTAATTATTGAATTTACTTTAATTTTTTCTAATTGTGTATTGTGCAAAGTAATATTACCTTTTTGTTTTTCCGAAAAAATGATCCCATCCTTAATTTTAGTTTTATATCCATGCTTAAATATAACATAGTAACAGAAAAGTAGTTTTATTGAATTCCAAATTATTTAATGATTGATTATGATGTGGTTTGATTTATTTATACACAGAGTGCTTTTCGACGATTTGCTAGTTTACAGTAAATAAAGACAATGAAATTATATAGTTTTATACCTCATTTAAATAGCTAATCAATGAATGATACATTGTATGTATTCAAACACCTGTATAGATAAAATCATCTGTTTGTTGATACGATACACAAATTAAAATGTTTCAATTAATTTAAATTATATAATCATTTCAAATGACTTTTACTTAGAGACAGAGATAGAGACAGATAGAAGCAAGTATAAGTTGTGGTAATGAGCCTTGATGGCCTTTAAAACCGAAAAAAAAGAAAAAAAATGTCTTATTTAGTTTTCAAGACATATTTGACTTTTAAAATTGAGGAAGTATAACACGTAAAATGATTGTAGACATAATTATCGAATTGTGCAGATCAGAGCCATGCCGTTAATATTTAGCGCCCAGGGCAAAATGAAAAATATTCACCCTCTATTTATCATTAATCATAATGCATTACATTCCTGTTTAATTTAACTATTTTTTTTTTTTTTTTTATAACGTATTTTGAACATTAATTTGACAAAAAACTAAAGCTGAATGTAATTGTAATTATTAAACAAAATAGTTAGGTATTACTCCGTTATAGTGACTAATTATTATTATTACTCGAACACAGTCGGAAATTTGTTCAGAAAAAATTTGTAATGGTCCAAAATAATTACAAAAACGAAATAATCTTTATCGTATATTTTATTTATGTAAAAGTTTAAAATATTATAAAAAAAAAAATTTGGTGCCCCTCTAAATCATGTTCCCGGGGCTTATTCTACCTGCCCCCCCCCCCACATGGGGGCATGGCTCTGGTACAGATTAATAATAATGTAATGTAATACATTATATATACATGATGTAGCTCAAACAATTATGATGAATGCATTTTAAATATTAGATTGATAACGATATTTCGATTTCACTGAATCATTTTTCATACATTATTCGGACAGCCAATTTTAGTTTCTCTAAACTGTATAACACATTATTACATCTCAGTGTCTGCAAGTTATTGTATAATATTGATAAAATCGTATGTGCCAATAAATCGACATAATTGTAAACATAATAGTAATCACAATAAGTAATCATCAATATTTGTGCTGTAATCTGCAATGATCGAATTTATGGTTACTAAACAATAAAAATAACTATAAACCCTGCAGAATATTATACAAATAGATATTTTTTAATTATCTACCGTAACGTAAAATTATTTATAATTTTGGAAAATTACTGATCTTTTTTACATAATAGCTAGTTTTAGTTTTATTAGCTAATTTTTAGTTATTTATAATAGTTTAACCATTTTCAATTATATCAAGACTTATAGAATTATTAATATCTATAATTATATATTAAGCTTTTAAAGTTAGTATTCACAAATTCACAAAGCACAAAATTCAAAACAAAAAACTATTAGTATTCAAAAGTTTTAATATACGTTCATTGGCTACTGCTAATAATAATACCAATTATAAAAATTATATCATAGTAATAACATCGGTCCACTCCAAAACTAATGTTCTCAATATATATATATATATATATCTTAATATGCCGATACTGTGGTTAATCAGTCAGCTCAATTTATACTGCAGTGAATTATTGTGATATAAGAAACATATATTTAATAAATTTAAACGAAAACAATAAGAAATATAGAGAATTATTTTATATTTTTATTTAAATTTATGTATTGATTCAAAACATTATATGGAAAAAATCTCGAAGTACTAATTTGGGTGTTAGTTGGGTTTAATACTTCCTAATCACCCCCTCTCCTAGTTTTGCCAATAACGGATTATAAGAGAAATAATCGAAAAAGAACCTAATTATACGGTTCTCGATGGAGTTTAATTAAGCATTTGATGCGAATAAAATATATAATATAGTGCAACAGTGGTAAATGTTTTCGATTGTTGATATTTAATGTTATTTATTTATTTTATTTATTCGATATTTTAATTTATACGATAGTGTATTGCAACGAATCAGTTTTAAAAAATTTGTATGCTCTTGACTGGGAAACGCCTAAACACTCATACATACTTGCTCATTTCACGGGATATATCAGTGTGTTTCTTGGACTACCGCGACAGTAATATTGCGACATAAGCACACGTCAATAAACGTGTAATTATAATAGGTAGATACCAAAAAACTCTGTTCAGGCAACAGTGACGTAACTCTTTTATATGTTTAAAAAGGACTGAAAAGGACGACACTGAAAGAATAAAAACATGTACGCGTCACAGGTTTGAAATATTTTTTTACTAAAAAATGATCATAACAAAACAATTACTATAGCTATTTTTATCACAAAAAAATTATAAAGAAAATATTTATCCTTGATTCTCAATCAAAGTGAATGCACTTGATATGCCAAATGTGTGCGCATATTATACGAGTAGCACGTATACAAATTATAATACTCCTCAAATAGTTATAATATTTTTTTTCCTCATACGTTAAGAAGACTTTATACCATTGCCTGAAGTAACTCGAGCAGTAGAAATATATTGCTTGAAGGAAAAAAAACGAATACCATTACACTATAATATGTATAATATATTTTCGAACATTAACCATTTTTTCAACAACAAGCACATTCAATTTTTCAAATATTTCACCCAATTCACTAATATTAACATACTTCAAAAGTTAAAACGTGTTATTTATTTTTAAGTTAGTATTTTTATATTGGCAAAAGTAATAAATTGATATGTTGTATCTGCTTTGGGTAATCATTTTTTTCAAGATGATATCAAAGTATATGAGTATGATAAATTATCAAATTTTTAAATTTTTGTTTAATGAACGAAACCATATAAACACTATACATGTATTTTTTACTTTTTTATTTTTACTTGTAATTTATTAGTAAAAAATTAATAAAAAGTAAATCAAACTCTATTTTTATGATACTACGATAATGGACAGTAACTATAAAATAAGTTCGAAATTCCTTAGTGAATGCCATACAAATATTCATAAACATTATTCAAATTCCTTTAATTCATCAATTATAAACACATTTTTAAGATAATCTTCGTCAATATTTTACGCGTATACATTTGTTATTGAATGTCATAATAGCCATATATAAATGTTAAAAATAATAATATTCTTGGGTGTCTATTTCCACGATATGTTACTTGGTGACAAGTTAAATAATTGAATGAAACAAAAAATTTAAGAGTAATTGAAACCACAACTATTTCGGTACCTACGAAGATGTAACCTTATTTTGATGTTGGTATTAAAACTCGGCATTTGGTGTTTGATTGTTTCCGAATTATTTATTCTTGTATTGATTAGTATCTAATTAATACGTTTCTTTTATTATTTTCACTTTGTACAAATCTTGCCAAATAGTATCTGTAAACACTTATTGATTTGTAACGTCAGCGGAAAGTTTCTAATCAATTGACTTTCATAAGGTGATCGATAAATTCATGTAACCATGGATGTTTACTATGTACACTGTATGAGTGTATTATTGGCATTAGTATTAAATTATTGTATTGACAGTACGAAACTAAAACATTAAACAAATCAATGAACGATTTAATATATTTAAACTGTTGTAAAATAAGCGATAAGCTTTTATCATGATTTGTTTTTACATTTTTAAACTCTTTCATTTCAACTCTTTTTCATTAAGCCGCACCAACTTGAGACTGATAAGCAAAATTAAACTAAACGATTTTTATACATAAATCTTAAAAAGTATGGTAAAAATAGTTGCAATTACTAAATGTATAGTTAATAATTTAAAAAAAAGAATCAACATTTTTTTTAAAAACGACTAAATTTCATGATCGGCATAAATTAATGGTAAATAGAATAATTAATAATTAATTAATAATTAATAATTAATCAAAAAGTATGATCTTTAAAGATGATAAATTTATAAAGAAATTATCAATTCAGATTTGAGTTATTATATAAATTTAGTAATAGAGAATAACAAAATTGTATTAACATGTTATATTTTTAAATTCTTAAAGTAACAACGGAGGCAATTAATAAATCAATTATTTCAATCCGGTGTACATACTTCTATTACATTATAAACGATTAATATAAAATATTCATTATTTTAGTGTTAGCATTTAAATTAACAAATACATAGTTATTTTTAAAATGTAAATATTTTCAAGCTATTAGAACATACATTGTTTAATTATATAGAAATACATATTTAGAGGTCTTAGGAAATAGTAATTTACATTGATTAATCAAGATTCGAGTATCATAAAGAACCACATCTTAAATAGTAGTTATCAAACCTGATTTGAATCGTTTTTTAATAAATTATATACATAAAAAATGCATTATGTTTAATACGAATTCTTTTGTACGATTTTTGTTGTTAATAAAAGCCTGGCTCGCTTTGTAAAATATAAATAAAAAAGTTTTTCAAGGACACTTTTTTTTAATTTTAAGTAATGGAAAATTTTTTATCTCATTGGTGCATAAATATAAAATACAAAATATTATAATACATATTCCCATACATCTATAAATAAATATAAATATAATGTACTATGTACTATATAGGAGTAAATATTACGTATACGACGTGAAGTTTTTTAACGATATTTTGCAACATGTCATTTTATATTACAATTTTTATAAATGTCTCATACTCAATATACTCTTATATAGTGTAACGTAATATAATTAAATTTCTACTTTTATGTATCAGAGTAACATCAACCTTTTATATATTTTTCTGCCGCATTAAGTTCTAAAGTAAATCAATCAAAATTTATTAATTATGACATTTTTAACTTTCCATAATCTATTTGTAACTTATTTATATAACTATTGAAATTAACTACCCAGCTAATAAATAAATATATAATACATGCAGATGCCAACTACAATAATTTTTATGCGTTAACATGGATCAGTTGATTTAAAACTATTTATAAAATTATTATATTTACTTGTTATTCAAATTAATGTTAAGGTTCGGTTTAGCCCATTACAAATTTTTGTATTATTGTTTTAATTTTTCCCGGAGGATTTTATAAAATATGTTTTTCGGGTAAATTCGTGTAAATGCAAGGCAGTTAAATAAATCGCTTATGACTCCATAGACTGTATAATATACCAACTCTACACACACGAACGAGGACAATAGCCTACGGTGTCTATGTGATTGCGTCAACCTGTTCATAATGTAGCTCATAGTCACGAACGTATTTGTTTGTGATTTATAAACCAGATCATTGATTACAAACATATGATATGTAAATTTAACCAATGACCATAATATGATATAATAATTAGTTACCGGTAAAATACTAGTTAAAAATAACTACAGACTTTAAAGTTAGTTAATATCTGTCTATGCAAAAAAAAATATTTTTTTAATATTATATAACAAAATGTTTATAAAAAATTTAAACATCAACCATAAGATTGATATTATAGGGACCTACATATTCAGCGCAGTTCTCTTCTTTGTCTCGACAAGTATAAAATGTAATAATCGAGATAGAGAAAACTCGATATTGCTCAAGATATATACCATTTGATTCCCACTTTTCAGTTAGGTACAAAAAATAACTTCAAAACAGACAACGCCCTCGAATGACTTTCACAATCATACCAATACGTTTTTCAAGGTTCTTCCTATTAGTGAGATGTATACTGAGGCCTTTAAGAAATATGATACATTTAAAATGCACCGAAAAACCATAATTACCATTTGGTAAGTTGTTACGGAACGATTGCAACTTTAATCCCTTATAATTATCGACAGATATTTGTATGTACAATATAACTCTTCATAATAAATAAATCCACTCAAATGTCATTGATTAATAATTTTTGGTACTTAATAATAATTTTTATAATTTTAATTTTCCTAAACAATTATAGTCTAATATAGTTGAGTTTTATTCAACGTGTTTAATAAAATTACCATTAAAATGTATTCAACAATATTTACGCATTATTACATAAATTATACATGTATACAAAAATAATGCATTTAAAATAATAATATATTTTTAAATTAACTTACATATTGTCAGCTTACAAATGAATATAATTTTGAGACGTCTCATTTCAGTCTGAAACAAATATAAAAAAATTAATTAATAAATCTTATCATCGGATAGAATAATACATTTCATTGTATGTGAGTAAGCATGAATCAAAATAATATATAATACAAATTGAAATTCTATTTCCTTTTAACAAAACATTATTTTAATTTATAATATCAACTTTATAAATAAAAGTATAGAAGAAAGACTCATTAAAAAAAATAATATTAAAAACAAAGGATCAAAATATAAATCATCATCTATAAGCATTACTTTTAATTTATATATATATATATATATCAACTATAAATCATTAAATATTCTCTCATGAGTAGATAGATAAATGAAAAAATGTTGTTTATTTAACATTCAATACCTTGTATATGTAATAACGATTTAAATAAACAATTAAATATTGATATTTAAGAGTAAGAAATTTCTGTTCAATAGGGAAAAAATTGTTAATCATTATCCGAGGAATCAAATCAAATCGCTGAATAACTAAAATACTTATAATCACAATTAAATACAATGTATTAATTACAAAAACGCATAGTATTCTTCGGAGAAGAAACATCAAAATATTACCGTTGAAACTTGTACGTAGGTAAGGTTCACCAAGTGGATTTTTCGAACTCGTTCAACCTACGCGTTGATAAAAATAGCACTGTCATCATCGATAATATTGATAATAAATTATGTTACCATGCTACCAGATCATGAGATTACCACCCAAAAATGTGGACTAAACGCATATATTAATTAAAACACCATTTCCATTTCAAAACGGAACGAAAACACTATTACAATACCATTATTGTCATTGATGGTTCAAACCACTGCACAAACCTATACTAGTATGCCAATACTTAATTAGACGGTATATATTATGGTAATAGTATTAGTTAAATGCCGAAGAACGTTATTACGTCTGCCCACCGCAAATTACGCCAGTCCAGACGCACATAAACGCAGTACATAACAATGTAGTACACATGATCGTTAGACGATCATTAGTTGTGTCTGTGTAATATTTTATCTATGAAAAAACCCCTAGAAGTTCAAAAAACGTTTTTGTAGCGTTCAAAATCGTCAACTGAAACTATATGTATAATATTCAGATCGCGCACTAATGAGCACATGAGATATATGACGCTAACAATGGCCAGAGACATGCCGTGGGGGGGCCTAGGGAGCATACACCCCGGGCGCATAGCTTCAAGGGGTGCCAAAAATTTATAAAATTATGATTTATGATTAATTATAAATAAAATAGGGGGCAAATATTTTTAATTTTGTCCTGAGCACCAAATCTAAAAGACACAGCTCTGACAATGGCCAAAATCACAAAACCAAAATTATATATGTAATAAGGACCCGTTTTAATCAATGTAGTCGAAAAACCTGTTTCTATATTATCATATTATGTTATTATTATTGCATTTGCAATATACTTGGGTGTGACCATTACAACCTTGACTAGTCTGACCGCATATAAGAGAGCAACGTGTATATACTATATATTCGTACATAATATTATATCGGAATCGAACAAGGAGCAACGGAGAAAGAATGTTTTTGTGAGAAAAAGAGAAGGCGAAAAACGCTACCAGTTTCGAGCACACGCAGTTGCCGTCATCGTAGCCCAATTACCACATTTTTACAATACACGGGTGGACCCGTTGTATATGTGTGTACTTATATGTGTGTTTTTGTGTGTGTGTGTGTGTGTGTGTGTGTGTGTGCGCGTGACTTTAATCTCTTTTTGTGAAACATGCGTACATACAGCGCCAGTGAATGTGTGTGTATGTGATTGAGCGCAATCGTGAATTATATGTATGCGTGCGTTGTGTGCATATTATATATTATATATTATTATTATTATTGTAGTGACGTAGTGACCACGACGTTATGGTCCATTACAGAAAATTTGAACGGTTTTTCGCTAGTTATTATGAAATTGATGTCTATTGCGATAATTACCTGTGTACATAATACGCGTTCGCGTTGTCGTTTGACGGATTCCAATATTTTATTATAAAGGTTCCGAAACGAATTTCTAGTCGTACGAAACGGGTTATACCTTGCAATGCAGTGCAGTGCTTGCACGAGCATCGAGATGTATAATATTTCTCTAACTATAGTCGATTACATTTCTGGTATTAACTGCATTTATTTGTAGGATGCATTTGAAAACAAAGATAAATCATTACATTTTAAAAACAGTTCTAAACACAAGATAAAATATAGCTTATCCATATAACATATATTTTAGTTATGGTTAGTAAATTATGGTTAATGGTTATATTCTTAAACACAATACTTGCACATGATCAATAGTCAAGCCATAAGACATAAAATCACTAATTTTTCATCAAAAGAAATACAAAGAACATGGTGGTTGCGGAGAAAATTCAACATTGTTTTCATGTTTTTATTTTCAATTTTACCACATGCTTTGGACAATTTTGAAAAAAATCGAAAAATAAATGGTTTTGAATATCTGTTTGCTGTGTAAAAAGCAGTTTCTGGGTAAACATGTTCATATGTTATTCATTAACCCGAAGGTAGTATTATCGGATATATTAAACATCATTATAAACCCTAAGCTAATACTTTTCTTATTTTGCTTTTCTCAAAATCTTAAACGATAATATCCATAACAAACGAAAAAAAATTCCGTACTCTAAAGTGTTTAGTGTGTAAAATTATACTACGGTATAGTTTTATCCAGCGACCAAGGTTAAAATGGTATATTGGTACATAAGCAAAAAAATTGCACTCGTCACTGATAATTATTAATATTCATGGAATAATAGTATTTCATATTTGGTGGAAAACCTTCGGTTAAAAGTACATACGTTCACATACCCAATAATTTAATCAATAAACCATAGATCTTAATAATGAATTAATAAATTTAATTATTAACAGTATTTTTCGGAGTGATAAAAATTATTTACGACGAACACTCAACTCATTGTATAAGAAAAAAAAATGATTTATTAATTTGTAAATATTTATAACTACATTATTGAAAAAGTGTAGCGATCTTGTAAAAATAGGTTTTTATTTATTAAATACGTTATACAAAATATATAATTATTAATTATCAAATATAATTATATTACTATAATTATTAATTTACTCATCAATTTAATGGTAATTTAAGAGTTTATACATTTTGTTCTAAACAGGTCTCCCAATCTTCCGTAACACTAATTGCTTCATCTAAAATTAACAAATGCTTTACATTCATGATTATTCTAAAAACTAATCTTATTTCACAGGGACGTCCGCAGCAATAGCTCAGAGGGAGCAAAAAAAAATTTTAAATATTAGCTATGAGAAAATTTACCACTGCATCTTTCATCTACCCATATTTCATAATAATCATTAGTATTATAATAAAAATCAAGACGAATTTATTATGTATAAAACTTCACTATTAGTTAAAAAAAACATAATAAAATATAACCGATTTAAGTCGGGACCGGCTTTATGTAAAAAAAAACTTTTAATTTTGTAGCTAACATGAAAAAGTTTAGGATAGCAATGTATCACACTGGCCTCTCTCTGGGCGTCCCTATCATTTCATACTGACCCAAAATTATTTATGTACCAATGTAACGTATGTATCACGATACATACGTTACATTGGTACATAATAATATAGTTATAATAATAAAAATAATAATAATAATTTAGGTACTGTCATTACTTAATTGTTGGTACTGTATTATCATCCATCCTGATCTACAAGCGCAAAACAAATACAATATACATTCTTACAATTTGCAAACGATTAGACGCTTATAAATTAATCTGAATGCATAAAACTAGGGTTCGGGAATTTTTGCATTTGCATATTCTTTAATAATGACTGTAAAATAATCTGAGTACGACATACATTTGTTTTATGATATAACGAACTGCAATCTGAATTACACAAATTTGCTGTTTTTTAGGCAAAATGCATATTAGACAGATTTTTAAAATTTAATAGTTATTTATAGCACATTTAATCATTTTTATGTTTTATGTAAAGACAATTTAGTCTAAAAGTTAGTTTTTTATGATTTTAACCTCTTTTTCATTATAGGAGAAAATTATGAAGAAAATTCAACCATACAAAGTGCCTAGTATTATAGTACTTATAGAGTTATTCTTGTCAATAAATAACTAAAAAAAAATGTCTGCATTAAAATTTAAAAAATTTAATTAAAAAAAATTAAATTAATGTTTTAAAAAAATTAGTTACATATTTCAGTTAAGTGCATATATCCTAAAATTTGTGTACAATAAATCCCGAACCCTATGTATAACATAATAATGTCGAAATGGAAAATTTGACAACATTGTTTATTTCTTTTATTATTCAAAACGACATTAAACACGTAATAAGCATTTCATTTCATTGAGCTAACACATTTCAGTTATTATAACTATTCGAACATTATTATTATCTTTTAATAATTTGTAATTTTCTGTAATGTTTATGACAAAGGCAAAATAAAAAAAATAAAAAATTAATAATTTATATTAATATATACGTATATGCCATGAACTAAATCTTAGTAAAGATATAAGTACATATATTTTGAATTTTTTTCATGCAGTATCATTCTATTACTTCTACTCTACTACTTTCGAAATATACCTATACGTAATTATAATGCATTTAATTTATTTATTTTTATTAATTTAGGTGAAAGAAAACTTTTCTAATTTTATCGAAATACTGTATATATTGTATGAATATTAAATATTTTTGATATCAAAATATTTTAAAAATATACGCAGATACAGTAAATATTTAAAATTAAATTAGGTATGGTTAAAAATATTTTTTTAAACATAATTGCTACGTCAAAACTACTTAATAATCCCAAGTAATTGATTTAACCTTTATTGTTATGGTTATTTTTAAAATTATGAACTATCGACACAGAGTGCACCCTATGGTCTTTATTATGAATTATATACAGCACACAGTAGTAACTACAGAGGTTTGTTATTGACAA